GGGGGGGGGGGGGGGGGGTCCTGTCTCCTGTCCACCCGACGTGGGGCAGTTATGATGGGGCAGGAACTCAGCTGCTGGAGGTCCCCTCCATGGCCTCAGGAGCTGGGGTTGGTGGGGGTGCTGGGCGCTGTGGCAGAGACCACACCCCCCCACCCCCCTGCCCCGAAGGCAGGCCCACAGCCAGGTTGCAGCCAGGCCCCTGTTGGCACAGAGTGGAGGTGTGGCCTGGGGTCTCGGAGAAGGGGGAGGGAGTCAGGAGAGGTCCACAGCGTGCCCTGGTGTGAGTGGGGCTCTGGAAGCTGCCTGTGGGGTGGGAGGGGTTGGGCGTGGGAGGAGTGGTCGGTTGGAGGCTGGTTAGCCCGAGGGCTGTGGGGCGCAGGTGCAGCGCTGCGCAGGATGTAGCTTCTTGCTGGTGGAGTGCGTGTCTGGCCGGCAGGTGCCCCAGGAACCCCAGCAGGCAGTGGTGGGGGTGGGAGGCTCCTGGGGTCCCGCTGCAGACCCCGTGCCTGGGCAGGGCTCAGAGAGCTGGCTTGAAGAGGTGATGCTCTTTGGGCTGAGGCCTGAGGACTGGGTTTGGGGCTGGCGGGGGTCCGCTCACTGCCTCGCCAGCGCCCCAGCCCCTGCTGCCCCTCACCTCTGTCGGTGGAGGGGAGGGCTCCGGGTCCAGGAATCCTGCTCTTTGGAGGCAGTGCCTGCTCTAGGAGTTGACGCTCTGCATGATGGGTGCGCTATGGGAGGCCGGTGGCCCGTTCCTCTGCCTGCCTCCTGTGGGGAGGCCGTGGGGAGCAGCCCTCTGCAGTCCAGCTGCCCTGGCTCTGGGCGGGTGCTGGGGGCAGAGGCTGCCGTCCTCAGCTGCGCACCCCCTCCTCCCTCTGCCTGCTGCCTCGTGGCAAGAACTGGGTGAGCCCTGGGTGCGGTTTGGGGCTGCAGACAAGCTGGCCTGGGGGCGTGGACGGGGAGGAGCCCCGTGCAGGGCGCGCGAGCCTGGGCTTGTAGAGGGCGGCCCTTGGGGGGCCTGAAGGGCCAGGGTGTGTGGGGGTGGGTGGGTGTGGCAGCAGCAGACACCTGTCCTCCCCACCCTGGCTTGTCTGCCACCTCGTTCGGTGTCAGTGGGGGGAGGGGAGGGCAGCAGGAAGCTGAGGTTTTGAGTCAGAGTCACAGCCCTTCCCCGTCCCCAGCCGGCAGCCGCCTACCTGCTGCTGGCCTTCTTCCTGGAGGGTGGTAGGCTCGAGACTGCAGTCCCGCTCACCTGCCCGCTGGGGTCTGCTTGCCAGCGTCCTTGGGTCCAGACCCGTTCTGTCTGAGGCTCCTGCGTCCGTTCAGGTTCGGGCTGGCTGGACGTGGGACCGCATCTCGCAGGTCCGCAGAGGCCCCACGCTTCGGCTGTCCCGCCCTCCCTCTGCCCCTGCTCCTCTGCGGGAGGCTGGTCTGAGCAGAGAGAGGGCGGGACCTGCTGGAGTGTGGGATGTGAAGGTGGAGGGGTTTTGTCTTTCCTGCTTGAGCTGCCACCTTGCTGGGTCAGAGACTCCTGTTCATCCTCCTCGAGTTCTCTGAGGGAAGTGGTTCCTCGACTGGGCCTGAATCAGGCCTCCAGATTTGGCTCCGTGGAGGGTGGGCAGGAGGGAGGGGTCTCCAGCTGGCCCTGCCCGTGTGGGCTGGACTGGAAACAGTGACTTGGGCATGGAGGGGGTCTCTGGGGAACACGTGGGAGCGAGGAGGCTGGGAGTGCAGGGACATGCCCTTCCCCTGGTCCACAGGGCCTGGGGCTGCACACAGCCACGTGGTGTGTGCCTGGCTGGTGTGCCTGGTGGCCTGTGTGGGCAGGGGGCAGAGCTGTGCCCAGCAGCTGCAGGGCTCAGGAGGCCTTCGTGTCCTTTCTGCCAGCCCCACCCCTCTCTGGCCTTCTTCTGGGACCTTTGCTGGTCCTGTCTGCCTCTGAGGCAGCAGGAACACGCAGCAGTCGGGGGCCGTGGGCACGGGTAGTCTTTCCCCGGCACCCACACCAGTGTGAGACCTTTGTCGGGCTGGCGGGTGAGGGGAGGCAGGGCCGTGGGCCGAGGGCCTGAGTTGGGGGCTGGCCGGGGAGTCGGGAACAGCTCTCCCCTTCTGGAGCTGGCTCTCTGGGGGTGGGGGGCTGGGGGGCTCTGACTGGTGGAGCAGGTGTTGGGGGCAGGACCTGGAGCCAGGGGCTGGGGGGGCTCTGACTGGGGGGGGCAGATGTGGGGGGCGGGACCTGGGCCCAGGGGCTGAGGGGGGGGCGTGTTGAGCTCCCCTCGCTGCTGTCCCTTGGGCCATGGCGCTTGAGCTCTTTTTTCTTTTTTTTTCTTTTTCTTTTTTTGAGGCTCTCATAGTTTTACTTTTTAAAATTTCCTGGTCATTAAAAATTTTTTATTGGATTATAGTTAATATATAATGTTGCATTAAGTTTATGCTGTGGAGGAAAGTGAATTAACTATTCATGTATCCACTGTGACTCAGACGGTAAGGAATCCGCCTGCAGTGCAGGAGACCCGGGTTCCATCCCTGGGTCGGGAAGATCCCCTGGAGAAGGGAAAGGCAGTCACTCCAGGGTTGCTGCCTGGAGAATCCCATGGACAGTGGAGCCTGACGGGCTACAGTCCATGGGGTCGCAAAGAGTCGGACACGACTGAGCGAGTAACGCTGGGACAGTCCTATAGGTTCTGTTCCCGGGAAGGCCGTGGCAGAGCACTGAGTGGTTCCCTGCAGCAGGTCCCACCAGCTCTCTCTTTCTGCGTAACCAGGGCCCGGCAGCGTCTCCTCACGTGATCGTCTTTAGGGAAACCGTAGGTCTGGGAGCGGGGGCTGGTCTGGTGCCAGGTGAGGGCAGGTGGGTGAGAAGTCTCCGCTTGCACCCTCGAGGCTCCTGTCGTGTGGGGGTGTGGGGCTTGGGCGGTGTCCTGACCCCCACACCTGTCTTCAGGGAGTGGGGAAGGCCAGGGCCAGATCCTGCAGCGCTTCCCGGAGAAGGACTGGGAGGACAACCCGTTCCCCCAGGGCATCGAGCTGGTGAGTGGGGCGCCCCGGGGTCTGGAGCTGAGGGCTGAGGGTGCTGAGGCGGCGGGGCAGATGCGGAGGGCCCCCACAGTGCCCGGCCCTGCTGGGAACAGGGCGATGTCGCTGCCCTGGAGGGCGGGGAGCCCCCATCACGTCCCTCCCTCATGATGGGGCCCTGTCCCACGTCCCAGGGTCCTTGCCCACACGGAGTGGCCGGGGGCTCTTCCTTCCTCCTGTGGGCAGGGTGCTGAGCTCCGGGAGGCAAGGCACTCGGGTTGCAGAGCTCGCTGCCCCCTGCTGCTGGGCCCGGCCTGAGGCCCCTCAAGGGCTGGGGGCCCAGGGTGCTGCCTGCTGACCCACCCTCCCTCCCAGTTCTGCCAGCCCAGCGGGTGGCAGCTGTGTCCTGAGCGGAACCCCCCCACCTTCTTCGTCGCTGTCCTCACCGACATCAACTCCGAGCGGCACTACTGCGCCTGCCTGACCTTCTGGGAGCCTGTGGAGCCCACACAGGTCAGCCTGCGGGCCAGCCCCTGGCTGCAGACGCCCCCCGCCGCGCGCGTCTCTCTTTGTCTGTGTCTGCTCCTGGTGTCCCCACCCCGCGGAGGCTGCACTTCCCAGCAGGCCAGGCCCGTCTGCGTCGCCTGGACCCCCGCCCCCTCCCCACTGGGCTTGGGGACGCGCCTGGACCCCGGCAGACAGCTTCTGTCCGCAGGAAGGGCTGTGTGTCCGGGATGCCACTGCGCGGGACGAGGAGGCCGATGAGGGGGGCTCGGGGGCACTGTCGCCCCCCGCGCCCGGCCCGCCTGACCAGCTGTTTGCTCCAAAGACGCTGGTGTTGGTGTCACGACTGGATCACGTGGAGGTGTTCAGGGTGAGGCGGGCAGCTGGCTCCCCAGGTCGGCTGTGGGGTGCTCTCGCTGGCTGGACCGTCATCCCCAGCCTGTGATCCTTGCAGAACAGCCTCGGCCTCATCTACACCATCCACGTAGAGGGTCTGAACGTGGGCCTAGAGAACGTGGTTGGGAACCTGCTGACGTGCCTCATCCCCCTGGCCGGGGGCTCGCAGGTGGGTTGGGGGGCAGGCAGCCTTAGGCGCTCGTCGTGTCCAAGGCAACGGGGTGGGGCCTGAGGCCCTCAGGGTCCTGCCTGGTGGAACGCCCCGCCTCGGACGCCCTCTGTCTCAGTGCCCCTGGCAGCCACCACCTCCCGTGGCCCTGCCTGCCTCGTGTCCCAGCTCATGCCCAGCTCTCCACCCGCACCTGTGTGTCCTCTGCCCGCACGCTCCTCGGGCCTGCCTGTGTCTGGTTGTTGGCGTCGGCCGGTCTGTGCCCCCACGTGTGGGCGTGTCTAACAGTGTCTCTCTGCCTGTGTCTGGCTGGCGGCGTCGGCCGGTCTGTGCCCCCGGTCTGTGCCCCCGCGTGTGGGCGTGTCTAACTGTGTCTCTCTGCCTGTCCTGTGCAGCTGGACTCTGGTGAGGATGGAGTGGTACGGATTCTTTGTTTCTTCTGCCCACTTAGGCCCCATCCTCACCCCCAGGTCAGAGGCCCAAAGTTTTCTCTGGAGCTCTGCTTGGGCCGGCAGAAGCCGGGCTTGGCCTTTGCCCCTGCCCGTCCCTGCTGTCCCACCTGGGGGTCTGTCTGCCTCCTAGGCCCTCCTGAGGCTGTAGAGCAAGGGCGCTGCCTCCGCCCGCCTGGCCAGTGCCGAGGCTGCACTGCACGCCAGGCTGCTGAGCCCGTCTCCCCCTCAGGCATCACCAACGTGCTGTCCCTGTTCTGTGCGGCGCTCACCGAGCACAAGGTGCTCTTCCTGTCCCGGAGCTACCAGCGCCTCTCCGACGCCTGCCGGGGACTCCTGGCGCTGCTGTTCCCTCTCAGATACAGGTGCCTCCCTTAGCACTGCCCACAGCCCTTCTGCCCGCCCCAGCCCTTGCAGGGCGGCCGCACTGAACCCTGGCCTGTTGCAGCTTCACCTACGTGCCCATCCTGCCGGCGCAGCTCCTGGAGGTGCTCAGCACGCCCACGCCCTTCATCATCGGAGTCAATGCTGCCTTCCAGGCAGAGGCCCAGGAGCTGGTGAGGCCTCCTCGGGGCCTGCCTTGCTGCTCCAGGCTGGGCCGAGCCTGGGCCCTGCCGAGCGGTCCCTGGTCCCTGACCTCTCGCTCCCTTTGCTGCACAGCTGGACGTGGTTGTTGCTGATCTGGATGGCGGTACGGTGACTGTCCCCGAGTGTGTGCACATTCCGCCCCTGCCTGAGCCCCTGCAGACTCAGACACACAGCATCCTGAGCATGGTGAGATGGGGTTGGGGCCGTGGGGGCCGCAGCGGGGCCGCGTGGTGGGCAGAGGGGCCCGGGCCTGGGGCTGGTGTACAGCCGACCCCGGTCCTTGCTGCCTCCACAGGTCCTGGATCCAGAGCTGGAGCTGGCCGACCTTGCCTTCCCTCCACCTACGATGTCCATTTCCTCCCTGAAGATGCAGGTGGGCGTCACTGCAGCTTTGGGGGGGCCCCCAGCCACTGAGTCCTGGAGGACGCACGTGGCATATGTGTGGGGGAGGGGGTGGGCACGGCGGCGGGCGGCCACTCACCACGCGTGTGTCCCAGGACAAGGAGCTGCGTGCCGTCTTCCTGAGGCTCTTCGCTCAGCTCCTGCAAGGCTATCGCTGGTGTCTGCACATGGTCCGCATCCACCCGGAGCCCGTCATCCGCTTTCATAAGGTGGGCGCCAGGCGGGGCGCGGGTGGGCCGAGAGGGGTGCCCGAGGGCTGACTTCTTTGTGCACCCCAGGCAGCTTTCCTGGGCCAGCGCGGGCTCGTGGAGGATGATTTCCTGATGAAGGTGCTGGAGGGCATGGCCTTCGCAGGCTTCGTGTCAGAGCGCGGGGTCCCCTACCGCCCTACGGACTTGTTTGATGAGGTGCACCCCCACCCCAGCTGGGAGGAGCCCCCCCCCCAATCCTGCTCCAGCCAGCCCTCCTGACTCTGCCCCGTCCCCAGTTGGTGGCCCATGAAGTCGCTCGGATGAGGGCAGACGAGAACCACCCCCAGCGAGTTCTGCGTCACGTCAAGGAACTGGCCGAGCAGCTCTACAAGAACGTAAGACAGGCGACGCGAGCCGCGGGCTGGTCTGGCGAGGCCATCCTGCCACCCCAGCGGGGCCGCTCACCCACCCTGCCTGTGTCCCCCAGGAGAACCCGTACCCTGCTGTGGCTATGCACAAGGTGCAGCGGCCAGGAGAGGCCAGCCACCTGCGGCGGGCACCCCGGCCCTTCCCCCGGCTGGACGAGGGCATGGTGCAGTGGATCGTGGATCAGGCCGCGGCCAAGATGCAGGGCGCGCCCCCAGCTGTGAAGGCCGAGAAGAGGACCACTGTGCCCTCGGGGCCGCCCATGAGTGCGTAGCTGGGGTTGGGGGGCGGGGCATGTGTGGCTGAGAGGGCGTGAGGTCAGAGGCGAGCGTGCTGTCTGCTCCCCAGCGGCCATTGTGGAGCGGAGTGGCGGACTGCATGGTAACAGCGCGCGCCGGCTGGAGGTGGTCCGGAACTGCATCTCCTATGTGTTCGAGGGGAAGATGCTGGAGGCCAAGAAGGTGAGGGGGTGCCGGGCAGTGGCTCCCAGAGGGCCACTGGCAGGAGCCAACCCAGCGAGAGGGCGGGTGGAGCCAGGCCTGGGTCCCCCTCGTTCCAGCTCAGAGCGGCTGAACGCGGCCTGCAATAGGATTTCCTTCAGCGTTTAGGTATCAGAACGTCCTAAGGGTTTTAGTGGTTTTTCTTTCTCTCTCTCTCCTATAGTGCAGATCTATACACTTCTGTGTTTTTTGTTTTTTTTTTTAAACACTGGGTTCCTGATCATTTCAGAGAGAATGGTAGTAACAGAAGTCTGAGTGCAGCCCTTCTGAGCCTGCGGTGCTGAGCCGTCTGCCGGCACTGTGTTCTGGGCACAGGGCCTGGCCGGCCGCGGGGCCGCCTCCCTCCGAGCACCTCGGCACGCTGGCCATGCTGTGAGCAGCGTGTGGGCAGGGCTGGCTACACTGGAGTGTCAGGCTCTCTTGGGCAGTGAAGCACCGTGTCTGGTGCAGCCCGGACCTGGGTGGCTTCCAGCCAGCTCTGAGCGGAGCGCCTGCGTCCGGCCCCCACCTCCGGGCCGGGCCTTCCCTGTGCCTCCCGCCAGGCCCTCAGGGCACAGCTGGGGTCTCCGCAGGCTGGAACCCTCATTCCTGTGGTTCTGTCCGCAGCTGCTCCCAGCTGTGCTGAGGGCCCTGAAGGGGCGTGCGGCCCGCCGCTGCCTTGCCCAGGAGCTGCACCTGCATGTGCAGCAGAACCGGGCCGTCCTGGACCACCAGCAGTTCGACTTTGTGGTCCGCATGATGAACTGCTGCCTGCAGGTGAGGCCGGGCCTCACACTGTTGGCGAGAGGATGCCGCCGGGTGGGGGCGGGCAGGGCTTCCCCGGCCAGCCCGTGAGGGTGCCTCTTCTGGCAGTGTGACAGCTGGGAGACCCTGGTCTGCCAGTGCGGGTGGCCTAGGAGAGTCCGCGCGCAGAGGTCTGCTGCCCTCACCCTCCGCGCGGCCCTAGGAACTGGTGCAGACAGTTCGGGGACGGCGGGAGGCGCTGCTCTTGGCGGCGGTGCCGGGGGGCGCTGGGCAGGTTTCCGACACCCCTGGCCTGCTGCAGGACTGCACCTCCCTGGATGAGCACGGCGTCGCGGCTGCTCTGCTGCCCCTGGTCACTGCCTTCTGCCGGGTGAGTGCTGGGGTGGCCAGGGTCTTCCCCCGCCCACTCCAGCTGCCCCCGCTGACTCCCACTTGCCTCTGCAGAAGCTGAGTCCAGGGGTGACGCAGTTTGCATACAGCTGCGTGCAGGAGCACGTGGTGTGGAGCACACCGCAGTTCTGGGAGGCCATGTTCTATGGGGACGTGCAAACCCACATCCGGGCCCTCTACCTGGAGCCTGCCGAGGACCAAGACCCCTTCTCGGTGTGTGGGGGCTCCCTGGGCCGGGGGATGGGCGGGCCTGGCTCTCGCTCACCTGTGCCCCTGCGGCAGGTAGGGGAGGCGCCCCTGCAGGGGGACGAGCGCTCTGCCCTGGACGTGGCCTCTGAGCAGAGGCGACTGTGGCCCACGCTGAGCCGAGAGAAGCAGCAGGAGCTGGTGCAGAAGGAGGAGAGCACCGTCTTCAGCCAGGCCATCCACTACGCCAACCGCATGAGCTACCTGCTCCTGCCCCTGGACAGCAGCAAGAGTCGCCTGCTCCGGGAGCGCGCGGGGCTGGGCGAGCTCGAGAGTGCCAGCAACAGTCTCGTTACCAACAGGTGGGGCCTGGCCTGGGGCGGGAACGGGCGGTGGGGGCCTCAGGCCGGGGCTGGCACCCACTGTGCCCTCCCTGGCCAGCATGGCGGGCAGCGTGGCGGAGAGCTACGACACGGAGAGTGGCTTCGAGGACGCGGAGGCCTGTGACGTGGCCGGGGCTGTGGTCCGCTTCATCAACCGCTTTGTGGACAAGGTCTGCACAGAGAGTGGGGTCACCAGCGACCACCTCAAGGGGCTGCATGTCATGGTGCCAGGTATGGGCTCTGGGCCTGGAAACACTCCCCTTGGGTGGGCGGGCCCAGGCCAGGGCGTGAGAACTGCTCTCCCCCAGACATTGTCCAGATGCACATCGAGACCCTGGAGGCCGTGCACAGAGAGAGCAAGAGGCTGCCCCCCATCCAGAAGGTGAGGGGGCGCCATGAGGGGTGGGCCCAGGACCCAGCCGTGTCCTGAGGCACCGCTCCCCTCCCCAAACAGCCCAAGCTGCTTCGGCCACGCCTGCTGCCCGGAGAGGAGTGTGTGCTGGACGGCCTTCGCGTCTACCTGTTGCCCGACGGGCGAGAGGAAGGCGCGGGGGGCCCCGGGGGTGGCCCCGCACTGCTGCCAGCCGAGGGCGCCGTCTTCCTCACCACGTACCGCGTCATCTTCACGGGGATGCCCACCGACCCCCTGGGTGAGCCTCAGGGCCTCCGCCCACCCCAGCCTCACCTCCCCTCTCCTCCCAGGTCCCTGGGTGAGCGGGACTTTGCTCCTCCCTCTCCGTCTCGGGTGGGGTTGTCTGTGGAGACAGTCCGTCGTCTGCCCCTCCCCGCCTGCGCCGGCTGCCCCACAGCTCTGGTCCCTTGAGGCTCAGGGACCCCTCCCCTCCCATCCCTCTTGACTCTGCCCCCGGCCTGTTCCAAGTGGGGGAGCAGGTGGTGGTCCGCTCCTTCCCGGTGGCTGCACTGACCAAGGAGAAGCGCATCAGCGTCCAGACCCCTGTGGACCAGCTCCTGCAGGACGGGCTGCAGCTGCGCTCCTGCACCTTCCAGGTGGGCAGGGGTCTGAGGGCCCCTCATCCTGTTCTCACAGGCAGGAAGTTAAGCTGGCGCTGAGCCCTTTGTGACCCTGACTTTATGTGGGAGCGGCTGTGCCTTAGCTCAGGGTCCTCTGCCCGTGCCACGTGCTGGTTGTCGGGGCTGTCCGTCTCGTGTGAGGCTGGACCCTGGGATCCGGGTCGAGGGTGCTGCATGGGCACGCCTGACTGAGACCTGTGCGGAGGGGACGCACGCAAAGATCGGGTCGTCAGTCTATCTGCGTGCGGTTTGGGGAGCGGACCCTCCGTTAGCCCTGTGCCTTGGGGTGCTCCCTCGGGGGTGTCCGTCTCCAGACGCAGAGGCGAGGCTGACCTTCATGGTCCCGTGGCAGACCCAGCTGCCTTCTCCGGGGCCCGTCGGCCATAGGGCTGTCACCCGCCCACCCTGTTAGAAACACTTGTCTTCCAGTGATGCAGCATGGGTGTCCCGGAGGCCTGTCTGCCTTGGTGGCTGGGCTCGGGCCCACGGGCCACCCAGCCTCTGAGGCCCTCCTGTCTGCCACAGCTGCTGAAGATGGCGTTTGACGAGGAGGTGGGGTCTGACAGCGCCGAGCTCTTCCGCAAGCAGCTGCACAAGCTGCGGTACCCACCAGACATCAGAGGCACGTTCGCACTCACCCTGGGTTCTGCCCATACCCCTGGCCGGCCGCCCCGTGCCACCAAGGACAAGGGACCTTCCTTCAGGTAGGGAACTGGGCCCAAAAGCCAGGATGCTGTGTGTGTGTCCCCTTGTTCATCTCATCTCTGTGACCGTGCTCTCCCACCTCCCCAGGACCCTGTCTAGGAACTTGGTGAAGAATGCCAAGAAGACTATCGGGCGGCAGTATGTCACTCGGAAGAAGTATAACCCCCCCAGCTGGGAGCATCGGGGCCAGCCGTCCCCCGAGGACCAAGAGGACGAGATCTCTGGTGGGGATGGGGGAGCCCTGGGTGGTCTGGATGAAGACCTTCCCGTGGAGGATGGGGGACCTGGGCGGTCTGTGACTGACGACCCCCGTGTACCTGGTCTGCCCCAGTGTCGGAGGAGCTGGAGCCCAGCACGCTGACACCATCCTCGGCCCTGAAGCCCTCGGATCGCATGACCATGAGCAGCCTGGTGGAGCGGGCGTGCTGCCGGGACTACCAGCGCCTGGGGCTGGGCACGCTGAGCAGCAGCCTGAGCCGAGCCAAGTCTGAGCCCTTCCGGATCTCCCCGGTGAACCGCATGTATGCCATCTGCCGCAGGTGAGCCCTGGCGCAGCCCCAGGGTGCTGGCTGCGGCTCCACGGCGGCTTTGCAAGGGTGATGGCAAGGGTGAGGCAGCTTCACCCACCGCTGCTGCCTCCTTGCAGCTACCCTGGGCTGCTGATCGTGCCCCAGAGCATCCAGGACAACGCTCTGCAGCGCGTCTCCCGCTGCTACCGTCAGAACCGCTTCCCGGTGGTCTGCTGGCGCAGCGGGCGCTCCAAGGCCGTGTTGCTGCGCTCTGGAGGCCTGCACGGCAAGGGTGTCGTCGGTCTCTTCAAGGCCCAGAATGCGCCTTCTCCTGGTAGGCGCCCTGCTCCGGCTATGGCCCTGCCCCAGCGCCTGACCCCGCCCCATCACCCTTGCCCCGCCCCAGGGCCCTGGGCCCCGTCCCCACCTCCGCCTCCCCCGCCAGGCCAGTCCCAGGCCGACTCCAGCAGCCTGGAGCAAGAGAAGTACCTGCAGGCTGTGGTCAGCTCCATGCCGCGTTACGCGGACGCGTCCGGTCGCAACACGCTCAGCGGCTTCTCCTCCGCCCACATGGGCAGCCATGGTGAGTGTGCTTGGATGGGAGGACTTGGGGGCAGTGGAAGGCATTTGTGGAGGGCAGGCCGGTGAGGGGGCCGTGTCTGGGTAGTGGGACCAGGTAAGTGTCCTGAGGCCCTGCTCTGACCACTCCTTTGGGGGTTTGCAGAGGAGGCAGCAGGCCCAGGGCACGCACCCAGGGACCATCCCGGGCCCTGCCCCTCGCCCTCAGGGTCCAGGTGCTCAGTGGTGCGGAAGAGCTTGTGATGCTGTGGAGAGGGGATGGTGTGGTGTCCTGGGGTGGGAACGCTGTTGGGGGTGGTGAGCTGCGTGAGTGCCTGGCACTGAGAGAGGATTCTAGACAGACCACAGGAGGGCCCCAGGGCCTGCAGGCAGGGGAACGGTGTGTGCCGGCAGGAGCAGCCTCGCCTGGGGGCCTTGCTCTGAGGCAGTCACCTCTGCGTTGCGCTTACCCTCCCAGCCCCATCCTGCGCCCTGTCCCCCTCGTCGGGGCCCTGTGACAGCCTCCCCTTCCCTGCCCCCGCCTCTCCCCCCCAGCTCCCCTCCTGGACCCTCGTGATACTCTGGCCCCTTCAGGTTCGTTCTCTCGGCCCCCTGGGCCGCCTCCAACTGCCGTGTAACCCCTATTGCGCCTCTGTGCTTGGGGCTTGGTGATCAGAGGCCTGGCAGTCTGTGCTTGGAGGGCTTATCTGCCCTCTGGAGGCACAAGGTCTGGGAAGCTGCCCACCCTGGGCCTGAGTGTGGCCCAGATGCTGGCCTCTGCCTGTTCCTTAGCAGACGTGGTGACAGTGTCCACCCAGGGCCTGTGCACACCTGGAGCTGTCCTGGCGGTTGTGTGTGCGGTCGGCAGATGTCACTCGGGGGTTGTTTCTCTGTGATGCGCCCCCCTTACCCTGGCTGGTGCAGGCATCACACCAGGGCTCACTTGTCACTCAGGCCTTGCTGAGTCCCTCCTTCCCTTCAGACTTGTCTGCGTTCTCCTCTGCTGTGGCTCTAGCCACCAGACGTGGGCTCGGGCTGGTGGCACCACCTGTGGGCCCAGCCTTCCAGAAGCCTGAGCATCTTCCTTGATTCTTCCCGCCGCTCACCCTTGCGTCCTCTGAGCTCCCCGCCCATGTCTGCAGCCCTCCTTGTGGTCAGTGGCCCCCACCGCGTGGCACAGGACCTGTGTCGGCTGTGGAAGTGGGCGGTCCCACTGTCCTCGTGGTGGCGAAGGGGGATGCCGACCTGGGGAGGACCAGCTTTGGCGTCCACCCTTCCGAAGGGGCACGTACCTTACCCATGTCGTTCCTGTGCTGGGAGCGTCGCTTTCTAGTTTTTAGTTTTCCGTCCTTCAGCGCGTGTTGTGGTTGCGCTGTCTTGCCTTCTGTCTGCTCCAGAGGTTCTGAGCGGCCCCCGCGGGCAGCGAGCGCCCTCTCCCCGGGACCGCTCGTCTCCTCGTGCCTGTGTTCTCCCTGATGGTGCTTGTGCTGCTGCTTGGTGCCCCCGAATTCTGGGCACGGGCCACCCCCTCATTGCCCGGGGTGTACAGGGGCTCAGCGTACCTCAGCCACGCACGGTTCTGGTTTAGACTCTGTCATGGAGACAGTGTCCTTGCTGTGGGTGATGGTGCTTCTTCCTGCAGCGTGGTAGGCTGCCTTTATGCTCACCTCCAGGGGCCCGCACCCCACTCAGAGGACGGGCGGGACTTGGTGCTGGCTTTGGAACCCAGAGACCAGTGCAGAGCCTCATCCTGCCAGCTCCCTGCACGTCCAGCCCATGAGCCTCGAGCCTGCATGTGTCCTGGATTGAACCAGCCTCGAAGGCTCCAGGCTGGGGGCCGCCTCCGCTCTGGCTGCAGTTCGTGGTCGCCTCCTGCTGCTGTGTGCCTGGCAAGGCATGCTGGGTGGCCACGTCCTGAGCAGCCCTGGCAGCGTCCATGGGCTGAGGGTGCAGAGGAGGCCCAGGGTCCTGCTTGTTCCCTCCCCTCTCTACGTACTGTCCGGTCCTCTGTTCCCTGGTTTGCCCTGGGGACCCAGAGGGCCTTGGTGCTGACCTGCACTGTCTCTGTCTCCCTGGGGCCCCTGGGGGTTTGGGGCAACTCAGCCCTGTACCCAGTCTCCTTGGGCCATAGTTTCCCGCTTGCTGGGCACTCCCCCAGGCCTGGGGCCAGGCCTGAGCTTTCTTTCTGCTGTACCCCCAGTGCCCAGCCCCAGAGCCAGGGTCACCACGCTGTCCAACCCCATGGCGGCCTCGGCCTCCAGACGGACTGCGCCCCGAGGTACCGTACTGGCCCCTCAGGCCGGCCCCCCCGCACCTGGCCCCGATGGTCCCCATGGGACTGAGTGGTCACAGGCACTAACGTCCCCACATCTGGCACTAACGGCCCCATGTGACAGACTGGTGTAACCCAGCCCTCCCCACAGCCCTGGGCACTAACAGCCTGATGCCCCAAGTCCCGCCCTTGCCCTTCCTGGGAGCTCAGCCCTAGGTAAGTGGTGCCCCTGCCCTAGTCTGGTGCTTACCTGGTTTCTCTGTGCAGGTAAATGGGGCAGCGTCCGGGCCAGCGGGCGCAGCGGTGGGCTCAGCACTGATGTGGGCTCCCGGCTAGCAGGTGTGGGCCCCCCCCAGGCCAACGGGGCCCCTCCTGACCCAGGCTTTTTGCGGCCCCAGCGTGCAGCCCTCTATATCATTGGAGACAAAGCCCAGCTGAAGGTGACTGGGACGGGGTCCCAGGGTCAGGTGGGGATATGAGGTCTGGGCCCGCCTTACTATGGTTGGCCTCCTCCAGGGTGTGCGGCCAGACCCCCTGCAGCAGTGGGAGCTGGTGCCCATTGAGGTGTTTGAGGCGCGGCAGGTGAAGGCGAGCTTCAAGAAGCTGCTAAAGGCCTGTGTCCCTGGCTGTCCTGCCACCGAGCCTGGTCCAGCCTCCTTTCTGCGCTCACTGGAAGACTCAGAGTGGCTCATCCAGGTCTCTCCCCTCCCCTGACCCCCCTGTGGGGGACGGCACCGGGAGGGAGGTGCAGAAGCCACGGGGAGGGTCTGTCCAGCGGCCACCTGGGTGCTTGCAGCACCCCCCCCCCCCCCCCCCCCCCGTTATCTAGAGCCACAAGTGGGTGGGGTCTGGGCTTGTTCATTGGCTTTGGGAGGAGGTGATGGGTGTTTGCCAGTTGTGGGAGGTGGACAGGGGTGGAGGCCAGGGCCCGGCCGTGTGGGCACCCTCTGTTCTGTCCTGGTGGGCCTGGGCGTGTCAGGGAGGGCCACTTCTTCAGGCCCAGGTGCTGACCGGTGGGCGGGAGGAGGGATGCAGCCCTGCACACTTTGGGCCTGTGGCACAGTCTGTCCCGTGGTGCTGGCCTGCATGACCACCTCTTTTGTGGATGTGTGGGTCCTGGGGCCCTGGGAGGTGCTGAGGGGTGCGGGTCCCCGCAGATCCACAAGCTGCTGCAGGTGTCGGTGCTGGTGGTGGAGCTCCTGGACTCGGGCTCCTCCGTCCTGGTCAGCCTGGAGGACGGCTGGGACATCACCACCCAGGTGCTCGGGGGGGGGGCAGGGACATCCCCACTCAGGTGTGAGGGGGCGGGGACATCCCCACTCTGGTGCGCGGGGGGCGGGGTCCCCACGCCCTGCTGACCCTCCGTGCTGCTTTCAGGTGGTGTCCCTGGTGCAGCTGCTCTCAGACCCCTTCTACCGCACCCTGGAGGGCTTCCGCCTGCTGGTGGAGAAGGAGTGGCTGTCCTTCGGCCATCGCTTCAGCCACCGCGGGGCCCACACCCTAGCTGGGCAGAGCAGTGGTTTCACTCCAGTCTTCCTGCAGTTCCTGGACTGTGTACACCAGGTGAGTGGGTGGCGGTGGCTGGGGGCTGTGCGTGCTGACTGCGCTCTGCTGACCCCTGGTTGCGCACAGGTCCACCTGCAGTTCCCCATGGAGTTCGAGTTCAGTCCTTTCTACCTCAAGTTCCTTGGCTACCATCACGTGTCCCGCCGCTTCCGGACCTTCCTGCTGGACTCCGACTATGAACGCATTGAGCTGGGTACAGGGGCAGGGCGGGTGGGTACGGGAGGTGGTGGGGGCGGTCCGCTGGTGGGGGTGTGGCCTGCAGGAGGGGCGTGGTCCGCAGGTGGAGGGTGTGGCCTGCGGGAGGGGCGTGGTCAGCAGGCCGGCGCTGTGCCCCCAACCGCCCGCAGGGCTGCTTTACGAGGAGAAGGGGGAGCGCCGGGCCCCGCAGGCCTGCCGCTCGGTGTGGGAGTACGTGGAGCGGCTGAGCAAGCGAACGCCCGTGTTCTACAACTACATGTACGCGCCGGAGGACGCGGAGGTGAGCCGGGCCCCGGGCGGGGTGGCCGGGCCCCGCCGGGCCCAGCGCTCAAGCCAGGCCCTCCTCCAGGTCCTGCGGCCCTACAGCAACGTGTCCAACCTGAAGGTGTGGGACTTCTACACCGAGGAGACGCTGGCCGAGGGCCCCCCCTACGACTGGGAGCTGGCGCAGGGGCCCCCCGAGCCGCCTGAGGAAGAGCGGCCAGATGGGGGTGCCCCCCAGAGCAGGCGCCGGGTGGTGTGGCCCTGCTATGACAGCCGCCCCCGAGCGCAGCCCGATGCCATCTCCCGGCTCCTGGAGGTGCGTGCGGCCCCGGGGACTGGGAGTGGGGTCCCCCCACCCCTCACGTTGGCCTGTAGTGCCCGCCCTGACTGCCGTCTGCAGGCAGCGGTGACCGAGGCTGTGTGAACCCCACAGCCTCAGGAAGGTTTGGAATCACCCCAGGGGCGAGCGGGGCCTGTCCTTGTCCCCTGTAGACCCCTGCCCTCGCCTTCCTGGGTGTGGACACCACCCCGCTGGGCTCCGGCTGCCTTGTGGCTCTTCAGAGAAGCGTGGGTTGGACTTTCAGGCCGCTCTTGTCCTCTACCTTCCAGACCTGGCGGGTGTGCCCTGGAATAGAAGGGCCTGTGTGGTGGGTGGAGCCTCCCCGCCCCGGCCTTGGCTGGGTGACGTCCGGGAGATCTCTTCCTGTGGGGAGGGTGGGCAGCGGTGAGGAGCCAGCAGGCTGTAACGCGTGTTAGGAACCAGCACCGCCTGCCATCCGGAGTTTGGGGGAGCCCGGGTCCTGGCTCTGTGGGTGTAGGGGGCCCACAGGCTCAGGGCAGACTGTCCTCTCCCCCGCGCTACTTGTGGTCGTGGCGGTGGTGTCCTGGACCAGCGTCTGTGTGGTGTGTTCTGTCTGCGGTGCCTTCACTTCTGACTGGTCTGTCTTTACAGTTAAGAGGAGCTTCTGGTACACATGTAGTTAGGTCTTCTTTTTACCCGTTTCTGTTTTTCATTGGACTTTTGAGTCTATTTATACTTGTTTATTTACGTCCAAATTTTTCTCTTAATTTTTGTAAAAACATCTAGATGTAAAAACATCTAGGTGGAGGATAATTGCTTTACAGTGCTGCGTTAGCCTCTGCCATACATAAGCATTTACACTTAGTCATTGATGTGATGGGCTTTTCTGGTCGCTCAGAGGGTAAAGAATCTGCCTGCAGTGCAGGAGACCCAGGTTTGATCCCTGATTCAGGAAGATTCCCCTGGGGAAGGAGACGGCTATCCACTCCAGTGTTCTTGTCTGCAGAATCCCATGGACAGAGAACCACCAAGAGTGGACACAGCTGGGCAGCTAACACTTTCACACTGGCGTGAAGTCTGACTTCCTGCTTGCTGTCCTCTGTTTGCTCTTCTTGCTTTTGTTATTTTTCCTGATAGTTGAGCATTGTTACCCCACGTGGTCAGAGTTACCTGGCTTTGGAGCTGTATCTTTTGCGTTCCTTGTAGCGGCCGTCGGTGGCTGCAGCCGCAGATCTTCAGGACTGAGTTGTGCCCACGCCCCCGACCCCCCACGGAGCCGCCGGCTCCTGTCCTTTTGCTGTCGTCGCCCATTTCACTTTCATCTGTGATGTCAGCGCTCAGCGCGGATGATGTTAATTTTAAGTGGCCAGCTTTGTTTTGAAGAAATTAGATAAGGGAACAGCCTGTTTGCCATGCCCAGTATTTCTCATTCTTTCCTTGTAGGTCTGCGTTGTGTCACTTCCCTCCAGCCTGGGCTTTTCTCCGCTCAGTACTGACTTACGCACGTGATCTGTTCGGCTCTGTGGGCTTAGCTGCCCTGCGGCGCGTAGCTCCCCGCGCAGGCATTGAACCTGTGTCCTCTGCACTGCAGGGCAGCTTCTTAACCACTGGACCACCAGGGAAGGCCCTGAAGGCTGTTAATGTTTCTTGTAAATCAAATCTGCTAGTGATACATTCCCCAAGCTTTTTTTTTTCACCTGAAAATCTCTATTATTGTGCCTTTTTAGTTTTTTTATTGCCACTATTTCTTTTTTTTGAAGTACAATTAATTTACAATGTTGTGTTTCGGGTGTATAGTAGAGTGATTTTGATGTATGTGAAGAAAGCTGAGCGCTGAAAAATTGATGCTTTTGAACTGTGGTGTTGGAGAAGACTCTTGAGAGTCACTTGGACTGCAAGGAGACCAGTCCTGGATGTTCATTAGAAGGACTGATGCTGAAGCTGAAACTCCAGTACTTTGGCCACCCCATGTGAAGAGTTGACTCATTGGAAAAGACCCTGAGCTGGGAGTGATTGGGGGCAGGAGGAGAAGGGGACGACAGAGGATGAGATGGCTGGATGGCATCACCGACTCGATAGACATGAGTTTGAGTAAACTGCGGGAGTTGGTGATGGACAGGGAGGCCTGGCATGCTGCGATTCATGGGGTCGCAAAGAGTCGGACACGACTGAGCGACTGAACTGATATATGAAAGTGTCATTCTCTCAGTTGTGTCTGACTGTGCAACCCCATGGACTGTAGCCCGTCAGGCTCTTCTGTCTGTGGGATTCTCCAGGCAAGAATCCTGCAGCGGGTTGCCATTCCCTTCTCCAGGGGATTTCCCCAACCCAGGGATTGAACCTGGGTCTCCTGCACCGCAGACAGATTCTTGACTGTCTGAGCTACCAGGGAAGCATATATATGTGTGTGTGTGTGTGTGCGCGCATGTATTGTGGAGTCTTTTCCATTATAGGTTTTCACAAGATACTGAACATGGTTCCCTGTGCTGGGCAGGTCCTTGATTATCTACTTTATACACATAAAGTGTGTATGTTAATCCCAGAGTCCTAATTCGTCCCTTCCCCTCATCCCCTTTGATGGTAACCATGTTTGTTTTCTATGTCTGTGAGTCTGTTTCTGTTTTGTAAATAAGTTCACTTATTTAATTTTTCAGGTTCCTCATTTAAGTGATATCAAACGGTATTTTTCCTTCTCTGACTTAACTTCACTGACTGTGATGATCTCTAGGCCCGTCCATGTTGCTGCAGGTGGCATCACTTCATGCTTTTTATGGCTGAAGAGTATTCCACTGTGTATATGTACCATACCTTTATCCGTTCATCTGTTGATGGACATTTACGTGGTTTCCATGTCTTGGCTATTGCAAACAGTACTGAAGTGAATATTGGGGTGCACGTATCTTTTCGAATTGGAGGTTTTGTCTCTTCTGGATGTGTGCCTGGGGGTGGGATTTCAGGGTCACGTGGCAGCTCTGCTTGCAGTTTTCAAGGACCCTCCGTACTGTTCTCCAAAGCGGCTGCACCAGTTTTCATTCCCACCAGCAGTGGAGCCGGGCTCCCTTTCCCCGCACCCTCGCCAGCATCTATTAGTTGTAGACTTTTTCACTGATGGCCTTTCTGACTGGTGTGAGTTGGTACCTTACTATAGTTTTGATTTGCATTTTTCTAATAATTGGTAATAGTGATATTGAGCATCTTTTCATGAGCCTATTGGTCATACATGTGTCTTCTTTGGAGAAATATCTATTTAGGTCCTCTGTTCATTTTTTAAGTTTCGCTTTATTTTCTGGCTGCGCCGCTCGCTTGTAGCGAGTAGGGGCCGCTCTTCCTTGCAGTGAGCAGGCTTCCCATTGCGGTGGCTTCTGTATGGAGCGGGGGCTCCAGGCACACGGGCTTCAGCAGTTGCGGCTTGGGGCTCAGTGGTTGTGGCTCTGAGGTTGTGGCAAGTGGGATCTTCTAGACTAGGGACCGAACCCGCGCCCTGTGCGTTGGCAGGTGGGTTCTTAGGGAAGTTCTGCCATTCACGTTTTGCTGTTAGGCTTTTGTCCCAACCTTGTGTATATTATAAATGTGACATTTTCAAAACTGATGCTTTGTGAAATTTTGAGTGAAGAATTTTTCAGTGAATTTTACGCTTTGTCTTTGATTGTCCAAGTGATATATGTACTAATGTCTCAGAAGAGGATAGTTCTTCAGAATATAGTTCTGTTCAGATGATGTGAATATTAGATCAACGAAAGCCAAAAAAAAATTTTCAAAAAAACCTTAGTGATTGATTCTGAAATGGGAAGTGAAAATGGAACTCGGGCACTGGAACTTGCTCCTTTGCTTCTTCAGAAGAGTGAATTGAAAACATTTCACGAAACTTAGAAGACTTTACCGGTGTCTCATGTGTAACTACTTTCTGTAATAACCTGCGAAATGTGAATAACCAGATTGGTTTTTGGCCACAACATAAAAATCACTGGCCACAGGCATTAGTTTCTGCAACCCCCGCCCCCTCCCCACCTCCCCGGTCAGTAATGAGTTAACAGGATTGATTCTTCAGTCCAAGAACACGGTACATCTTTCCCCATGTCATCTTCAGTTTCTTTCATCACTGTCTTACAGTTTTTTGCGTACAGGTCTTTTGCCTCCTCAGGCAGGTTTATTCTGAGGTATTTTATTCTTTCTGATGCAGTGGTAAATGGTATTGTTTCCTTAATTGCTCTTTCTGTGACTTTCTTTTTTTAAAGGGTGTTTTCTTTGGATGCAGAATTCTAGGTTCACAACTTTGAGCCCTGGCAGTTAAAGGCGCTGTTCCAGTGTCTTCTGCTGGCGATGTTTCTGAGTGGTGACGCTCCTTCTTACCGTTGTGAATTGTGTGTGATGTCACCCTCTTTCCCCAACTACCTTAAGGTTTTCTCTTCATTCTGTTCATTTTCGGTGGCCGTCCTGGGTCTTCGCTGTCGCGCGCGCTTTCCTCCAGTCGTGGTGTGCAGGCGTCTCGCTGCAGCGTCCCTCCTCGCTGCGGAGCTCGGCTCTGCAGCATAGACAGGCTCGGCAGCTGCGGTGCCCGGCCTCAGTTGCTCTGGGGCGTGTGGGGCTTTCCCGGACCAGGGGATCAGGCCTGTGTCTGCCGTGTCGGCGGTTGGATTTTTCAGCACTAGGCCACCAGGGAGCCCCTTCTCTTCATCTCCAGTATCCGCAGCTTGGCCATCACGTTGGCTTTTGTGTGTGTGTATGTGTTCTGCTTAGAGCTCTTTAAGCGCCTTAGATGTTGTGCGATGGTGGTTTTAATCAAATTTACTAGATTTTAGACCTTTATTTCTTTAAAAAGTTTTTCCTGTATAATTACTCCCTCATTTCTTCTGGGACTTTCTTGCCCCATAGGTCATTAAGGCTCTGTGGGTTTTTCCTCTGCAGATCATGTATGATTTTTATTACCCTGCTTTCAAGTCCACTGCTCTTTTCCTTATGTTTAAAATGCTCTGAAGCTTATTTAATGAATTTTCTATTTTAGATATTAGAGTTTTCAGCTCTAGAGTTTCCATTTTCTTTATGGTTTTTTTCTCTCTCGAGATTCCCCATCTTCTCAACCATTATGTTCATCTTGAAATCTTAAATGTACTTAAAACTGTTCTGAACCTCTTATATGCTGCTTGAGTATCTAGTTCATTTCTGGGTCTGTTTCACTTTCCTCTGACGACGCTTCTCCTCTCCCTGCCTTCTTGCTTGTCTAAGAATTGTTGTGAGCTGGACGCTGTTGAGGATCCAGATCTGTTTTCCTCCAGGGTCATGGGTTTTCTTCCTGCTGGCAGTTAATGACCTTGTGGGTCAGCTTGGTCTTTTCAGGGGTTGCTCTTAGGCTTTGTTAAGCAGCTGTAGAGAAGCCTTTCCTCCAGGCTCCACGGACATGATCTCTCCAGGTTTCAGCGGAACGTCTGTGTCATCAGCAGGGTGTCCCCATGGATTCTGCGTCTCCGAGCTGTGTGGCCTCCAGCGTCCGGATGCAGCTCACAGCTTTGAGTGGTTGTTCTGCCAGGCCTCATGGGATCTTACCGCACACATAGCGGTTGCTCTTGGCCAGAGATGCGGTTGGGGGGGGGGGGGTCCTGTATGGGGAGGGTCGAGCTCCTGCTCACTCTCCCTGCCCCCCACAGACCTGGGTGCCCTACACCCCACCCCCTGCCTCTGCCCCGCCCCCTCGCCCCTCTCGGGCCTCAGTCCGCAGGCGGCTCCTGCACTGTCCAGCCCGGTAACTACTGGTGGCTAGCCGCTGGTGGTGGCGGCTGGAGGGCGGCTCCACATGTCTGTGCGCCAGTCGGCGCCTTGTTGCTGTTTTGAAGATAGTGTGTCTCTCTTTTCTGGCTGGTTTTGGAATTTTTCTCTTTCAGAAGTTTTTCTGATAATACCCTGAAAATGTTAATTTTCTTAATATCCTGGGGTGTGTATGCTCAGCTTATCCTGTTTGGGGTTTGTAGTGTTTTGATTACATTTTTGATGTCTTTTTTTAGTCATTTTCTCCAAATAGTGATACTGTCCAGTCCCTCACCCTTGCACATTTTCCTCGTGGATGGCAGCTACACACTCATTGCAGCTTTTCACTGTCTCCTTTCTATGGTTTCTATGCTCTTGTCTCTACGAGTTCCAGTCTGGGTATTTCCTTCTGCAGAAGATTTTAGTTCACTGGTTCCCCCCCGGCAGGAGATGCAGCGTCTGGAGACCGAGCTGGGTCGACCCCCCGAGCGCTGGAAGGACGCCTGGGATCGGGTGAAGGCAGCGCAGCGCCTCGAGGGCCGGCCAGACGGACGTGTGAGCGGGGCGGGGGTGGGGGGCGGGCGGGCCTGCGGCCTGGAGGCAGGGAGGCCCCCCTGACACGGGCCCCTCCTGCCCGCAGGGCACCCCCAGCTCCCTGCTGGTGTCCAGCGTGCCCCACCACCGCCGCTCGCTGGGTGTGTACCTGCAGGAGGGCCCCGTGGGCTCCACGCTGAGCCTCAGCCTGGACAGCGACCAGAGCAGCGGCTCCACCGCGTCCAGCTCGCGGCAGGCAGCCCGCCGCAGCACCAGCACCCTCTACAGCCAGTTCCAGACGGCAGAGAGTGAGAACAGGTCTGCGGCAGCTCCCGGGCGGGCGCCGCGGGTGCCTTTGCGGGTCTTCCTGGGATTTTTCGGGCAGAGGGGTTGGTGGGTGAGGCCCTGCTGGTGGCCTCAGCGTGAGCTGACCAGTGCAGGGAAGAAGCAAGTGGGCTTAGTCTTTGGCATGTGGAGCTGGTGACCTCGGCCAGAGAGGGAAGGGACTGTGGGGTTTGATGCAGGCTCTCGGGGGCGGGGGCCCCGCGGGCCGCACCCCACTTCTGGGCCCAAGGGCCGCTTGGCCACAGTTGTCTTGAGATCTGCCCGCTCGTCAGGCCCTGCCCTGAGGGGGACGTTGTTGCCGAGGCCCTGGTGGGGGCCATCACAAATGAATGTCTAGGGACCCAGGGCTCCGGGCTCGGGTTGGCTTGGGGGCGGACGCCTGGGTCTTGCTGCCGGGCCTGGCGGGGGTGGAGAGCAGGCATCGGTGCCGGGCCCTGAGGTGGTCTGGCCGGTCCTGTTGCAAACACAGGTCCTACGAGGGCACCCTGTACAAGAAGGGCGCCTTCATGAAGCCCTGGAAGGCCCGCTGGTTCGTGCTGGACAAGACGAAGCACCAGGTGAGTGTTCGGTGCCCTGGCGGGGCGGGGAGTTGAAGGCGCCCTGCCCTGACTCCTGCCCCCCTCAGCTGCGCTACTATGACCACCGCGTGGACACGGAGTGCAAGGGCGTCATCGACCTGGCCGAGGTGGAGGCTGTGGCACCCGGCGCGCCCACCATGGGTGCCCCCAAGACTGTGGATGAGAAGGCTTTCTTTGACGTGAGCTGCAGTGGGGGCGGGGGTGGGGGTGGCTGTTCCTGGGGGAGCCGTGGAGTCAGCGTCCTGTGTCCCCAGGTGAAGACGACGCGTCGTGTTTACAACTTCTGTGCCCAGGACGTGCCGTCGGCCCAGCAGTGGGTGGACCAGATCCAGAGCTGCCTGTCGGACGCCTGAGTGCGGCCCTGCCCCGCAGCCCTGCGATGTTACCGACCACTAGGGGTGGGCAGGGCCCCCCGGCCATGTTTACAGCCCCCCGCCCTCGACAGTATTGAGGCCCCTCCCACCCCCCCGCGTGTACAGTCCCCCGCCCCGCCAGCTCCTGCTCACTGGAGGCCTGGCTGAGTGCCCGCCGGGAGCAGCACGGTACAGCCCTCGCGGTGGGCCTGTAAATAGTTCCCCCGCCCGTCTGTGCGCTGGCCCCGGCCGGCTGGCCCCAGGCACCCTCTTCCTAGAATGAGAGTCTATAAAGAGCTAACGACACCGCGTGCCTGCGTCTGCTCCACCCACTCCCCCTGTACCCGGGCTGCTGCGTGGGGGGTGGGGAGGGGGGTGGTGGGGGGGAGTGGCATCATCAGGGCCTTGCCTGGGGCCTGCTCCCCCCGGGCCTCAGGCAACCCTGGGGCTGGTAGGCAGGGCGGGCGCCACCTGGGGTGTGTTGTGGAGGGGTACAGAGGGGGACCTCCCCCCTGAAGCCATCCTGCATCCAGAGGGATGGGGCTGGCTAGGACAGGGTGCAGACTCACTGGCCCCTGGTCAAGTGAGAGTCCACGGGCCTGGGGGCGATGCCAGGAGTGTGGGCTTTCTGGGGCTCAGGGGCAACATGAGGTGGCAGGGCATGGCACCCTGACTGCATCCGCGCCGGGAGCTCTGCTCCAAATGCCCGTCTCTTCCTCTCCCAGAGTCCGGTCTTTGCCCTGACCGTCCCCACTGCCCTGTTCTCGGGTGTAATGGGGGTCGCCTGGACTGGGCCTCACTCGCAGTGGGTGCCAACCAGGTGTGGGGCAGCAGCAGGTGGGAGGTGGGGTGTGAGGTTCCAGGTAGAGACCACAGCACAGGGTTGGCGGGGCCGCTGGCAGCACCCACCGTGGGAAGGGTACTCCCAGCCTGGGGACTGCCGGGGACTGAGGTCCTTGCCCCGTGCTCAACTCCAGGCAGAGCTGCTCTCAGCCGACTCAGGTGGGCCCCTGCCTGGAGCTCCAGGGCCTGCAGCTGAACACCACACGAGACACGCGGGTCTGTAGGTGAGAATAACAACCTTTATTGGAATCGAGGGTCTGAGTGCCGTCAGAAAGAACATCACGTGAGCTGACCCCGCAGGCCCCTGGGACAGCTCGGCGCCCCCAGCACTGCTGGGCCCTCTGCACCCCACCCACAGCCAGCGCCTGCCCCGCGCCCCTGGTGCACGCTGCGGGAGGCCCGGGACACCCTGCCAGGCCGCAGGGGCTTGTTTTTTTAAGGCAGTCGTTTGCAGCCTGGCATGGCCCGCTCCCAGGAGCTCTGGGCAGCTAGGACCCCGTCTGGTCAGCCCCACTCCAGACCCGCATTTGACCCCAGAGCCTTGGAGACCCTCTCCTGCGCCAGATAAAAAGTGCAAACACATGGCTCTTCCTGCATCTGTTAAAAAAAAAAAAATGGTAAAAAAAACAGGCAAGGAGTCTGGCCCGGCCCTCAGGCCTCTGGGGCTGCGGCCCTGGGCTCCCACAGGCAGAGCCACGGCTGAGGCCTTATTGCTGTGTGCGGGGCTGGACCCCCGTGGCCCGCTCAGTCGGGGTCAGGCAGGAGAAATGCAGGCGGGGCTGTCCGGCTGGTTCCAACTGCCAGCTTTACCAATGCAGCATTTATTTTAAAATTAAATTAAATTAAATTAAAAAAGACAAATTGCGTCACCAGGTAGTTTTCTGGGTTGGGCGCCAAGACTGCGCAGCAGCAGCATCACACGGGGCCATTGAGGGCGGCTTCTGAGGGCGGCAGCCCGTCAGCCTGTCTGCACGGAGGGGGGGTTCACTCAGGGCTGGGGTCCCCCCTATTCTGGTTCCCCCAGCCCTCCCCTGGCCTGACTGGCTCACCTGTCTCTTGTCACTGTCTCCAGGGCAGCTGCCATGGAAATGGCTGGGCTGGCAGGGGCTGCGGTGGTGACGGCCACCATGGGCCCTGGGGGGACAGCCACTGCCAGCACGGGGGAGACGGCCCAGGGTTCGGGGCCCATGACGCCCGGCACCACGGGGGCCGTCACAGCGGCCTCGGGTAGGGTGGCCACGGCGGAGGCAGCGGGCGCCTCGGCAGGGTCTAGGGGCACCAGGCCTGGCGGTGAGCTGGGGGCACAGTCAGTCCTGCGCGGCAGACGGGCTCTGGTTACTCGGGCCCCTGCTCTGCCGCCCCAAGTTCCAAACACTCCAGAGACCCGACCCCCCCGAGCGGCCCTCCAGGCAGCTGCCTCCTGCCGGGAGCGCTCACTGGGGGCTGCCCATCCCACTGTGCTCACCGTGGGCCCCACCTGCTCCTGGGCGCCCCTCAGGGCCCCAAGCAGCCCACACGCCTCCACGGACCACATGACCCGGGCCACTCCCTAGACCGCTGCGGGCCATGCCTGCCCAGAAGGCACCCACCCATCCCTGGAGAGAGTGAGCACAGGAGGGCGGCCTGGGTCCCAGGAGCGCCCCACAGCATCCACTGGCTGCACCCGCTTCCACTACGCCGCATCACCTGCTGCCTCGCGAGGACTCCAGGGAGGCAGTGAGGGGTGGGGGGAGCCTGCAGACAAGCCTGGCTCGTTACCCACAATGGCCCAAAGCGCACCCCCCTAACCAAAGGACGTGCTTTCAGAACATCGCCGAGCAGGTTTTGGGGGAGACGGGGGTCAGGAAGGGGGGAAGCTGACCCATGGGTCTCCCCGGGTGGCTCGGCGAGAACCAGCCCCTCTGACAGGGGTGCTTGCTCCCTCCCAGCTGTGCCCATGACCGCGAGCCTAGCACCACGCCGGCTGGGATCTGCGTGCCCTGGGTCCCAGGAGCCAGTGTGCGCTGAGCCAGAGCTGGGCCCCCATGGACAGGCTGAGCCCCAGAGGCAAGAGGGAGGCTCTGAGGTGGCCGGGGGGCGGGGAGCCGGGAGCAGCCCTGTCCTCCCCGCCCACCCAGCGCCCCTCACACTGACTCAGCTCCGCTGCTCCCCTGGCCCAGAGCACTGTCGCCCACGTCCCGTCTCACCACACGGCTCTCGTGCCGCGCCCAGCCCGGAGCCTCTGTCCACAGTGGGTCCCACAGGCCATGGGCCCACCCTGCACACGGAGTGTGAGTGGGTGTGTGTCACCTGGCAGTGTGTGTGTGTGGCACCTGGCAATGGGTGTGACTCTGGACTGGGCACCCACCCCAGGACAGCAGCAGCTCCAGAGCCCACCCCCCCCCCGACCCCCAAAGCCCAGCCATCCCCTCCAATGAGGCCTGGGGTGGGCTGGCCTCTCGCTACCTCAGTGACCACCCATGGCTTCCCCTTGGAGGAAGGGGCATCCCTCCTGTCCAGAGCTGGCCTCTGAGGAGTCACAGGGCCGCCAGGACGAGAGGGAGCTCCCTGCTGCCCACCCTCCCTGCTCACCTGGGGCCCGACACCGACAGCGGGGAGGCCTGGCTGGGACCCACACCAACAGCCCCCGAGGCAGCAGCTGCCTCCTGCTCATCCTTACGGCTGCTGGCGGCCACCAGGGGTGCCTTGCTGGGGACACACGCGCTCCAGGCACCAACTGCAAGATGGGGCCAGTGATGCCAGGTGAGGACAGAGGGCTGGTGTGGAGTGTGCGGAAACTTAGCCCACACCCCCAGGGACCCTGTCCCCCACACCCAGTACTGTGTCTGTAAATTCACAGGAACTGCAGACAACTGTCCTCCCCACAGGCAGGGCCACCACTCAGCCTGGTGGCTTCCAAGTTTGTCTGACGGGGCTCAGGGCCGGGCTCCCCAGGACGAGCACAGGGCGGCATGGTGCCCACGCCATCCACTCCGGGAGGTGGCGGGCCAGCCTGGGGGCCTCACCTGGAGGTGGGCCCTCCCCTGGCAACAGGCCCGCTCCAGGACCCACCATCACCCTGGGGATGCAGCCGCCCCGCCTTCTCCTTTGCCCGAGGCGGCCCCCACTCACGGGCTCTCTCTGGGCCCTGGTTCAGGCCAGCCTGGGCGTCGCCACGGCCAGTGTCCACCGGGGAGCTGCACCTTGGCCCCGACTCAGAGCTGTGGACAGGGCCGACACTGAGCCCGAGCCAGGAGACCTGGCTTCAGGCAGCTGGGCCCCAGCCCACTCCCCCCAGCGCCCACCTCACCAACAGAAAGGCTGGAAGTCGGTGAACTTGGCCCAGCCTTTCTCCTCCGGAGCAGAAGTGCTGGGGGAGCCGGCTGCCCACACACTGGAACCCACGTCCAGCGCCACTGCTGGGGCCGGGTCTGCGGTCATGGAAGTCAGTGGCCCATCAAACACGGCCCACGGGGAACCTGCTAGGGGAGACAGATGTCCATGTCCCTCGTCCAGCAGGCAGACCGGCCCTGCCCTGGAGTCCAGGCGTGACTGACAGAGGCAGCCCTGTAGCAGGGGAGTCAGCGTGCCTCCCCTAGTGAGTCCTGGGAACACCCACCCCAGCCGGGAAGGTGTGGCCAGAGGATGGCTCCAGGCTACACCCAGAGACTGTCAGGGGCTGAAGGCGTCTGCTGCAGGGGTGGGGGCACCAGACCCTCTGTCCCCGGGTCTCCACCAAACCCCCTGTGGCCCTATCACCTACCTTCTGAGCCGCCCTCGACGCAGGGGCCTTCCTGCCGGCTGGCAGCTCGCGGGGAGCCTGCCGGGGCTGCGTCGGCACCCTCGCCCGCACCCTGGCCTCGGCGCTCCGGGCCGTCTTTCCGGCAGCGCTCTGAGGCGTGGGGGCCCCCGAACCTGGAGGGAGAGGAGTCAGCAGCCCTCCCCGCGCGCTGGGGCGGGGCCGGCGTGGGCGGGGCCGGCGGCGGGGCGGGGCCAGTGTGTCTGGGGGCCCACCTGGCTCTGGTCACGCGGGCCGTGCGGTGTGTCTCCTCGTCCTCCCAGAGGTCGTCGTCCTCGTCGAAGGGCTGGATGTGGTCGCTGCAGCAGGCCTCAAACAGCACCGCGCCAGGCTACGGGAGAGTGCACATGGGCCCCATGGCCTCGCGCCCGCGAAGCGTGGCCGCCCCCGAGAGCCCCCGCGGACTCACGCTGTCGTCATCGGCGTCGACGCTGAAGCTGATCTCTGCGATCCTGTCAAATGGGGCGCTGCGGGGACAGCAGGGACACCGTCACCTCCACCAGGAGGGGTGGGAGGCGGCCCCGTCCGGACCGGAGGGACGGGGGCAGGGGCGCCACGCTGCAGGCTCATAGCCAGGGGCGACCCGCCCAGCTGCCCTCCCCTGAGGGCACCTCCAGACCCTGGGGTCACCCGTGGCATCCAGTTGAGGAGGTGGTGTGACAGCCTGAACAGGGCTGACCGCAGGCCGGGGACCTGGTTGGGCCAAGTGGCACCTGGCCCACAGGCACAAGGGAGGCGGGCACAGGCCGCTGGCTCACTTGACACTGTCATCCTGCTCAGCAAACTCCTCGTCACTGAAGCCAAACTGGTCCACGAAGGTGGCCGTCATCTGCTGGACCTGGTACTCAGAGAACGCCTGGACGACAGGGCCGGCTGCTCTCAGGAGATGCCCTCAGCGGCCTCTCCCAGCTCCTGCCCCCTCGGGTGGGAGCCAAGGCGGCCATATCCACACAGCCAACCACGTCCCCAAGGGTCTCATGGAGGCAGAGTGCCCGGGGCCCCTGCGAGAGGTGGTGAGGCTGCAGGGCCTTCGGGTGGTGGGGGGACCTCCCCTGGCCCCACCCGCGGCTCTGGTGACACGCAGGGCATGGCGCCATGGGGACAAGGAGGCCTGGCCACACATACCTGCTGCAGGGACAGCTCGTTGGGGAAAACGCCCTCCATGTCCTCGTCCTCACTCGAGGGGTGAAGGTGGTGTGTGCTCACCTGCAACGGCCAGGGCGGGCAGACGTAAGCAGGCGCCTCGCCGCCCCCAGCCCTCTGCACAGGCAGCCCCGTGAGCTCAGGCCAGGCGGGATCAAGGGGCCCGCAGCACTCTGCCCGGAGGCCAGGCCTGCTCACCAGGTCCACCGCGTTCCTGCGGTTGGCCTCCGACAGCGTCTCCTCCACGAAGCTCTCCCAGCGCCCACGGCAGTCCCCCGGGAGCCCTGCAGGGAAGGCCGCACACTGAGCCCCTAGGCCTCTAGAACCCTGCAGCAGCACACGCCCCTCCTGACCTCACAGGGCTGAGCCCGTGGGCATGTATTCCCCGGAAGCACGGGGCCCTGACACCTGCCCCCCACATAGGGCTGTTGCGGGCGTGCACCTCTGCAGAGGCGCTGACCCAGCCCACCAGGGACTAAGCGCCTCGCTTGTATCGGAGGTCCCCCCCCAGCTGCGTAGCTCACAGCTGTCCCTGGGCTGTGGGGGCCACGGCGGACACCACTGTGGAGGCAACCTGGCGAGGGCATGGTAGGGGGCACGCCCAGGCCACACTCAGTGCACGGCCAACTGGACGTCAGCAAGGCAGCTTCCCACGCCCCGGCGGGCTCAGGGACCCCAGATGGCACGCGGACCACCCCACCCAACAGCACGCACACCCAGCCAGGGCTCCCAGATGGCGCGCACTCCTGTTCAGCGTTCACCAGCGCCCCCCTCACACCAGGCCAGCCCTGTCCTCAGCCTCCACGCCACAGCCCCTCAGAACCCTGCCCTCTGGACTGCCCCTCTCCTGCCCTCGGGCCTCGACCCTGGCTCATGTGCACTCGCCCCCCGTCGCCCTGAGTGCATGCCCCTGCTGGCACCCACTGCTCAGGAGGTGCTGTCCTCCTCCCTGAGAGGCCAAATTGCCCGCCTTCTCCCATCTGAACCCCCTCAGGCCCCCCCAGTTCAGCCCAGGACGTGTAGTGCTGGGAGGGGCAGAGCAGCGTCCGGGACACGCAAGGGGCACGCGGCAGCCCCAGGTGGAGAGGCCGCAGACCGCGATGAGGGGGGGGGCCCACAGGGCTTCAGGCTGCTCTTAGGAACAGCACAAGTGGGGGTGAGGGGCTTGGCAGGGAACCGACTCAGGCCCAGGCCCACTGGGCAGGTCAACCCGTGGGAGGCAAGCTGACCGTCCAGCAGCAGGGCCAGCCCCACCCGCTGAAGGCCGCACTGCAGGGGGCACCATGGGCAGTGACACCCGGGCCTGGAGGCGCTCACCTCGGAAGACCTCGCTGACCTGGCTCTGCAGGGGGCCCCCCTCCAGGTTCTGCACCACTGCGTTGGCGATCCGGGTGAGGTGGCCCATGTTCCCGCGCCTCATGCCGCCCGCTGCCCTAGGAGAGGGAGCATCAGGTCGGTGGGGCCCGCCCGGCTCAGCCTTGCCCCGCCCCCTCCCACAGGCCTCCTCCCCGTGGAGCTCATTGAGCAGCACGGGCTCGGCACCAGCGCCCCTCCAATCTCAACTCCGAGAGGCACGCGCTGCTCCCCGTGCAGGCGGAGGCCCTGCAGACCAGCGTCGGGTCGGTGCTGCGAGAGCCGCCCGAGGGCGTCCCGGGACCTGGGGGAACCAAGGACCATCCGGGGACCCAGCGGCGGGCAGCAGCAGGGGTGGCTGTCCCCGCCAGCATGACCACACGGCTCTTCTCAACCTCTTACCCGCCCCCAGGCGGCCCACAGCAGAGGACGGGAAGACGCCAGGCTTTCCGCGTTCAGAAACGCAGCCTTCATGTCCCAGGGGCACAGCTCCTCTTTCCACTGTGTTCTCTCTGCTCAGTTTGGTGACAGCCAGAGAGGACACCAAGGGTCCTGATTTGGTCGGCCCCCCTGGCAGGCAGAGGGGGCCAAGAGACTGGGAGGAACTGGCCCAGAGGCGAAGCCGGACGAAGGTGGAGGCCTGTGAGCAAGCTGCTCAGGACGCGGGAGAGCTGGGTTGAGGCATCACACACCTGTCCACTGCTTCCTGGGGCTCAGAGGCCCCTCGGCTAACAGCACTGAGCCATTTCTTGACACAGGTACACACCTGTGCAGCGACATGCAAAACCCAGGAGGAGAGCCGGCAAGGCCTCCTGAGCTACCACACCCGGGCCCAGCAAAGCCGGGATGGCCCCACCGTGCCGGGGGCTCCGTGAGGATGGACGCAGATCGGTGGGTCCAGCACAGCAGGACAGGAAGGATGAACCAGGGGAGGTCACAGAGACCCCCGCCCAGAGCAGCCCTAGGAGGGCAGAGCGGGAGCAGAGGGGGACTGGGGCGGCTCACTGGACCCTGAAGCCACACCAGGTACCCAGGCAGTCAAGACCTTCAAGCGGTGGGTGACACCACCTGCTAGTTTCATAAAGGCCCCAGCCGATCAAAGGGACCAGAGGCCAGGAGGGGCAGGAAGGAGGCAGGAAGTGGCCTGGACGCGCTGTCAAGGGTTTGAGGCTTCCGTGAGCGCCATGGCTGGAGGCCAGGATGGGGACCTGGGAGGGTGTGGGACACAGGACTGGAGTCTCCGCTGCTGAGCAGGCAAGGGAAGCAGCGGGCGAAGGGCCCCGAAGCTGGGCGAGCAGGCCTCAAGGACAGGACCCCGAGCGTGGCCCAGCTGTGCCGCCCCCAGCCCTGCGCCTCAGCCCCGCCAGCACGACAGCTGCTCCCACGGTAATGGGACCTGTCCTGGGAAACAAACCCTCCGCAGGAGCCTGAGCCCCACGCGGGCCCCAGGTTCTTACTGAGTATGGTCGTTGGCTTCCCAGGCCTCCAGGATCCTCTGGACCAGGCAACACTTCTGGAACAGCTGGGGACAGGCGGCAGCAGTCAGGTCAGCGGGCGGCACGCCCCATCCGCCCACCCCCGGGCTGAGTGGGCTCAGCAGGCAGCACGTGGACACGTCAGCCCCGAGCTCCCTGTGGGCACACCCGGCATCAGAGCCCAGCCCTGTGGTCCCCACCATGGCCCCAGGCAGGTGCCGCCCACCGCCATCCACGAGGGCACACATGTTCCGACCAGCCCCCCTCCTCTTGGCCGCTGCCTCCCGCTGGCCACCCCCCCCCCCCCGCTTTCCCTGTTCAGGACAGAGGCCGCTGGCCTGGGGCTGCCCTGCTGCCAGCACTGCACAGCTTCCCCCGCCTGGAGAGTCTGTGCTGGGTCTCAGTCACACCCACACCCACATGCAGCCTCACCATCTGGAAGGGCCCGAGCATCCACCCCGCCCCGTGACGCTCTCCCCACTGAAGCTGTCTTTGCTGTTGTCCAGGTCAGGCCTGCAGGCGTGGCCCCTCAGGACTCTCTCCCAGGCCTCTGACCACAGACCCAGGGGCCCCTTGCCCAGCCCCTCTGGTCCTAACCTCGCATCACCCGGGGAGGGTGGCACGGCAGACTCCCAGGGTCCAGCGTGCACAGCTGGGCTCCTCGGCTTGGGGACCACGCGTGCCACGTTCTGCTTTTCCCTCCCTCCTTAGTGAGCAACGAGGAGTGCTTAGACCAACTCCCTGCAGGCCTGGCACTAGCCACGCAGGGCTTGCAGCCCCCAGAAGGCCAGGTGGGCTATTGGGAAAGACGGGAGAGCTGTGCAGAGCAGCCACTCTTTCCAGAGGCTCAAGTCCCAGGAAGTCTTCTCATGACAATCAAGACACGTTTGCTCTCCCTGGGCACTCCTGCCGTGGCAGACATACCATCTGGGGGCCGCTCGTCCCCCACAGCCTGGATGAGCCAACTCAGGCAGCATCAGGGCTCCTCGCCACCCCTCCTAGACCCTCTACCCACGAGCTCTGGGGTCTGGCAAGTGTGGATGCTTTCTTTGTGGTCTCCCGCCTCGTGGTTTAAAAGCAGAGCAGCCCACCCACGTGACGTGAGCTTAAGCAGAGACCACAAGGCACACAGCGTGGCAGGTGCACACGGCCTGGCTCGACCTCAGGGCACACAGGATGCGTGGAGACTGGTGGGACACGGCAACTCACGTGACCCTGGCTGGACTTACGTGGGCCACCATGGTGCTCTCGGGGCGGCTGCTGGCAGGCTGGGGGGTTGCTGGGTCCCCGCTGGAGGGTGGAGGCTCCAGCCCACCCTCAGGCCCACTGGTTGCGGCCCTGTCCTCCCGGGCAGCGTGGGACAGGATGGCGGCTATGCAGAGCTCCACTTGGAGGTGCAGGAAGTTATTCCAGGTGTACTTAAAAAACAGGTCCTGCAGAGACAGGGGACGAGGGACGCACGCAGTCTGTCTCCTGCGGGCGGAACCTGAGGGGACCCTGCTGTCCAGCCGCCTCTCACACTGTCCCCCTCCCACTCTGCCCTGACATCTGGATGCCGGGCTTCTAGCAACTTCTGCAAAGAAGTACCTGCATCCCTCGCCATCCAGCCCAAGGCTGTGCTTCTGTCTCTAACCTCTGCTCCTGTCTGACTGCTTCCTGTGGGTTTGTTTCCGCCTGCCCCCCACCCCTGCCCTAAGTCAGAGGCATGGCCCACGGCGGCTCAGCCTTGCTCCCTCTCGGGTGCGTCTCCATGAGGCTGCGAGTTTCCTGTAAAATCACCTTTGCTACATGATACACGCTTTGCGATGTCATATTTTTATCATCCTTCTTTTATGATTTTATCTTTGACCCACAAATCACTGGGAGTGTGAGCAATTCTCCACTCCCTGGGGGCCATGAATAGGCGCACGAGTGGACATTCCCCAAGGGGCCTGGGTTGGAGCCCCCAGGGGCTGAATGGGCAGCAGCTTCCCTCGAGGGGCCTCTTCCAGACCTGCCTGAGGTCAGCAGGCTGCACCCTTACCCATGCCCCAAGGCCACCTCACATCCAGCAGGACCCATAGTAGCCCGTGCCCAGACCCCCTGCTGCCCCCAAGGAAGGAAGCCAGGTGCGCAGGGTGGGGAGATGGGGCGGGGGGACAGGGTGCACACCACCCCAGGGTGTGGGTTTGGGGCCTCCTTCCAGGCCGGGGCGGGGTGGGGGGGAGCTGGATAAAAGGAGGCGGCCTGTGGGCCTGCACGCGCTGCCCCAGAGATGCAGTCTCCAGGCTTCACGTCCTCTGCCTGTGTGACCTTGGGTGACAGGGAGGTTGCTTCATCTTCAACAGAGTCAGAACCACCTCCCCACACATACCACACGACTTCACTGGTGAGTTCCACCAAACATCTAAAGAGGAAAGAACACTACCAATCTGCTCAAAGCTTCCCAAAGAACTGAAGAGGAGGGGGCACATCCTACCTGTTCCATCCTGAGGCCAGCATGCCTACACCAGCCACCACAGGCCAGAAGACCAGAGCCCACACCCCTGATGAGCACCGAGGCGGAAACCTCCACAGGGGAAGCAGCACAGCAGCAGGACAATGACCGGCCGCGACGGGCGGGTAAACCCCCAACCCCCCACACCGGGCGCGGCGACATATGAGAGGCAGTGCGACATGCCACAGGAAAAGAACGAGGGCACTAAACCCACACAACCAGCGCAACTGACACTGGAGAAGCATCTGACAAAATTCAATGCATTGTCTTGGGAAACATGCTTAATAAGCTGCATGGTGACAGACAAAAACAGTCTCTGGTGGCGGACATGCACAGGAGCACAGAATTAAAAGCACACACACGACGCTGACACTGAAGGACAAGACAATCGCTGCTGGGAAGGCCACGTGCAGGAGAGGGAAGCTGGACTCCTACCTCACACTGCACACACAGACGAACTCAAAAGGGATCAAAGACCCACAAAAACTTAAATTTTAAAGGTCTTAGAAGAAAACATAGGGGGAAAGCTGCAGAACAGTGGATTTGGCCAGGCTTTCTTAGGTACAGGTGTGACACCAAATGCTCAAGCAACAAAAGAAAAAAAAAGATAAACCGAACTTCATCAAAATGAAAAACTTATGTGTGTCAAAGAACACTATCAAGAGATTAAAAAGACAACTCACATGATAGGAGAAAATAACTGCAACTGATACATCTAAGAGATTAGTATCAGAAAACATAAAGAACTTCTTCAATTCAACAACAATAAAAAAAATAAACATCTCAATTCAAAATGGGCAGAGGACTTGAACAGACATTTCTCCAAAGATACTCAAATGGCCAGCAAAAGCACACGAAAAGATGCTCAACATCACTAACTACTGTGCGTGCGTGCATGCTTAGTTGCTCAGTTATGACCAGCGCTTTGTGGCCCCATGGACTGTACAGCCCACCAGGCTCCTCTGTCCGTGGGATTTTCCAGGTAAGAATACTGGAGTAGGTTGCCATTTCCTCCTCCAGGGATCTTCCCAACCCAGGGATTGAACTTGTGTCTCTGGCATCTCCTGGACTGGCACGTGGATTCTTTACCACTGCATCACCGGGAAACACAAACCAAAACACAATGAAGACTTTCCTGGTGGCACAGTGGTTAGGAACCTGTCTTCCAATGCAGGGGCCATGGGTTCGATCCCTGCTCGGGGAACTAGTAATGACGTCCCATATGGCCCTGGGCAGCTGAGTCCGTACCGCAACTGCTGAGCCCTCGCAGCACAGTGGACGTCTCTGCCTTCTGTAACTGAGACCTGACGCAACCAAACAAACAGGAAGAAAAGGGGAGGCGGGGCTGCCCCGGGGACAGTGGTAAAGAGTCCACCTGCCGACGCACAAGACACAGATTCAGTCCCCGATCCAGGAACATCCCACATGCTGCGGGGCAAGTGAGCCTGAGCTCTGCAACGAGACGCCACCGTGATGAAAAGCCCATGTGCCACAGCAAGAGAGCAGCCCCCATGGCAACGAAGACCCAGTGTAGCCAAAAATAGAAATAAGCTTACTAAAAAAAAAAAAAAATAGTGAGATACCACCTGAAACCCATCAGGATGGCTATTATCAAAAAAAATCAGAAAGCATGTGTAAGTGAGGCCATGAAGAAATTGCTGATACGAATGGAAAACAGTGTCCCACTGTCTCCAACAGCTGAATACAGAATGACTATATGCTCCATCAACTCCAGCTCTGGGGATGCAGTGACAACAAGTGAAGGCAGGGACTCAGCTTTCTTACACACCCACGTTTACAGGAGCATTTTCACGGGTTCTTAAGGCACGAATGCTGAAGTGGTTTGCCATTTCCTTCTCCAGTGAACCACGTCTTGTCAGACCTCTCCACCATGACTCATCCATCTTGGGTGGCCCTACATGGCATGTCTCATAGTTTCACTGACTTAGACAAGGCTGTGGTCCATGTGATCAAACTGGTTAGTTTTCTTCGATTGTGGTTTTCAGTCTCTCTGCCCTCTGATGGAGAAGGTTAAGAGGCTTATGGAAGCTTCCTTATGGGAGAGACTGACTGAGGGGGAAACTGGGTCTTGTTCTGATGGGCAGGGCCATGCTCACTAAAACTAACCCAATTTTCTGTTGATGGGCAGGACTGTGTTCCTTCCCTGTTATTTGACCTGGGGCCAAACTACACTGGAGGTGATGAAGATAATGGCGACTTCCTTCAAAAGGTCCCAGGCACACACTGCTGCACTCAGCGCCCCAACCCCTGCAGCAGGCCAGCGTCGACCCATACCTCCACCGGAGATGCCTGGACATTCACAGGCAAATCCGGGTCAGTCTCTTGTGGAGTCACTGCTCCCTTCTCCTGGGTCCTAATGTGCACCTCGCTCTGTTTGTGCCTCCCAGAGATGTTTCCCCAGTTCTGTGTAACTTCTGGAGGCTCTATGGTGGGGTTAAGGGCAACCTCTTCCAAGAGAGCTTATGCCATACCCAGGTCTGCTGCACCCAGAGCCCCTGTCCCTGCGGCAGTCCACTGCTGACCGTACCTTGTTGTGGATCACAACAAACTGTGGAAAATTCTTAAAGAGATGAGAATACCAGACCACCTGACCTGCCTCTTGAGAAACCTGTATGCAGGTCAGGAAGCAACAGTTAGAACTGGACACGGAACAACAGACTGGTTCCAAATCAAGAAAAGAGTACAATATACAAAAGGCTGTATATTGTCACCCTGCTTGTTTAACTTAAATGCAGAGTACATCATGAGAAACACTGGGCTGGATATAGCACAAGCTGTAATCAAGATTGCTGGGAGAAATATCAATAACCTCAGATATGCAGATGACACCACCTTATGGTAGAAAGTGAAGAAGAACTAAAGAGCCTCTTGATCAAAGTGAAAGAGGAGAGTAAAGAAGTTGGCTTAAAACTCAACATTCAGAAAACTAAGATCATGGCATGTGGTCCCATCACTTCATGGCAAATAGATGGGGAAACAGTGGAAACAGTGACTGACTTTATTTTGGGGGGCCCCAAAATCACTGCAGATGGTGGCTGCAGCTGTGAAATTAAAAGACACTTGCTCCTTGGAAGCAAAGTTAGGAACAACCTAGACAGCATATTAAAAAACAGAGACATTACTCTGTCAACAAAAGTCAGTCTAGTCAAGGCTGTGGTTTTTCCACTAGTCATGTATGGATGTGAGAGTTGGGCTATAAAGAAAGCTGAGCACTGAAGAATTGATGCTTTCGAACTGTGGTGTTGGAGAAGACTTTTGAGAGTCCCTTGGACTGCAGGGAGATCCAACCAGTCCATCCTAAAGGAAATCAGTCCTGAATATTCATTGTAAGGATTGATGCAAAGCTAAAACTCCAATACTTTGGCCACCTGATGTGAAGAACTGACTCGTTGGAAAGACCCTGATGCTGGGAAAGATTGAAGGCAGGAGAAGAAGGGGACAACAGAGGATGAGATGGTTGGATGGCATCACTGATTCAATGGACATGAGTTTGAGTAAACTCCAGGAGTTGTTGATGGACAGGGAGGCCTGGTGTGCTGCAGTCCCTGAGGTCGCAGAGTCGGACACGACTGAGCGACTGAACTGAACCCAACGGGAGCATTATTAAAAATGGTCATCATGAGGACTTCTGTGGCAGTCCAGGTGTTAGGGCTCTGCACTTCCAATGCAGGGGGCACAGGTTTGATCCCTGGTCAGGGAACTAAGACCCTACATTCCATGCCTCATGGCCAAATGAAAAATAAGTACACACATTTTTTTTTTAAAATGGCCAAAATGTGGAAGCAACCCCATTGTCCATCAATGTGTGAACAGGTAAACAAAACGTAGTATATCCACACAATGAAATATCTATCATTCAGTCTTAAAAAGGAAAGAAACTGTGACACAAGCTACAGCACAGGTGAGCATCATCCTAAGTGAAACAAGCAAAACACAAAAGGAACACAAAGGCCACAGATCCCACTCACGTAGGTCAGTGGACTAGTCAGACCCTCAGACAGGAAGCAGAAGGGTGGGGCCGGGGAGGGTGGGAGGATGAGGACTGAGTGCGTAACAGTCAGTCTGAGAAGAGGAGAAAGGTCTGGAAATGGTGGCGATGGCTGTAGAACAACGTGAACAATGAACCACATGAGTGACAATTATTACAATGGTGCATCTCACGTTATATATGTTACGTTTTGCCAGAATCAAAGAAAAGTGAAAAGCAGGAGTGGGAGAGAGAATCTGCTCTGGAGGAGGGAGCAGAAATGAGGCCTCTCCCTGCCGCTCTCTGACCCACGTCTGGGCTCCACAGTCACAGCAAAGCCCAGGGATTTCCCCTAGGGCAGGCGGTCCCTGAGGCCCAGTTCCAAGGCGGTCCTTGTGGGAGGACGAGGAGTGGCTCTTCAGGCTGTTTTAGGCTGAAGAGCTATAACGTTCTGAGGCAGAAACGAGAAAGGGGAGGCCCGTCTCCCCACCGCCTCTGCTTTCAGGGCCGCCCTGTGTGAGCCGACACTGAGGCGGGCCGGCCCCGTTCCTGACTGGCGCCCGCAGGCCCGCTCACCAGCAGCAGCCCCATGGTGTTGAGCCGGCAGAGCTCCTGGTTGACGCTGGGAGTGCCCGTGTGCAGCAGGGCAGCCACGAGGCGGGCGCTGTGCAGGCGCGCGTTGCCCAGGGGCTCCTCCAGCACGCCGACGGTGGTCAGGATGGCTGCTTTCTGCAAACACAGAAGCACCACCAGTTAAAGCCTGTGCCCACCTGTGTGGGCTTCATTTAGCTCAGGAGCCAACTCTCAAAGGGCCAGGGCCATAGCCATGTGACATGGCCTAGTCGGGGAGGAGCTCTCAAGGTGGTCTGCAGGAGGAGACCGGGAGTCAGTCATGTGAAGGGCCTCAGTGCTCCCTGCAGGGCTCACAGCGTGACCCCGGGCGGGCTGCTGCTGCTCGGAGCCCGGGGCACCCTGGTCTCAGCCGGCCAGCACAGCGGTATGGCCTGAGTGCATAAGACAGAGGACACTGATGACGAAGCTGGCCTCGTGACAGGGGCATCCTGCATGCAGTCCACCTTTTCATTGGCAGAATGTTCCAGAATCCCTGCCTTCACAGGTCCCCCTTTCCGGTAGGAAGCAGCCCACAAGCAGGTTGGTGAACAGAATGAGCAGCGCAGGAGAGCACAGATGGTGCTGAGGAGGAGACCTACGGAGAGGCTGGGCGGGCGGGCAGCCCTGGCTACGCTCAAGGACTGAGGGGGTGAGGAAGTGGGCCTTCCTTAGTTGTGACCAACTCTGCCCAGAGCTGCTCAGCATAGCTAAGGGTCTCCCTTGGGACCCCCTGACCCTTGGCTGGGTATCCCCAACACAGAGGCTGGGCCTACAGTGCACCTGGGCCTCGGGCAACCCCTTATCAGAAGACAGGAGTCATCCGAGGGACAGTGAACCGCTCTACTCTCAGGCCTCCCATAAGGGAAGACGAACACTCAGCAGATGGGGCTTGAGTGTGCCCGCCACTGCAGGCAACGCATGAAGTCCTCGCCTCACCAGCAACCCCACCCACAAGGTCACCTCTGCTCAGGACGCCTACCTTGGGCGGGCTGAGCAGAAGCTGGTGGAAGTCCTTCAGCCGTGGCTCAACGCCGCGCAGGACGCCGGGGCTGACGGTGCACGACCTGTCCTGAGAGCAGGAGTCCAGCAAGCCCTCTGACCTGTGGACCAGAAGCGGCTGGACACAGGGATCCCCCCCCCGCCAGCCCCGCCGTCATCCTGCAGCCCTCCAGGCCGTGTCCGCTTGTCTCCGGGGGGCGCTGCTGACTGCCCAAGAGGCAGGTGGGGCAGGCGGCGGGTGTCACAGCCCAGATGAGCTCGGCTCCCTCCCGCCGCCTTGAAAACCTTCCTGCTGACCCCTCCTCGCCTGAGACACAGACAGGACTGGCCACACCGCCCCTTTGGCTTTTTCATATAAGCACTGTTTCCAGTTATGAAAGCAATGCACAGTCATCACAGAACACAACGTTTAAACACAAGACAGGACAAAAACGCCAAAGAAAGCCAGCTGCCGGTCTCTTCCCCACGGTCCTGCGGTCCTGCTCTGCAGGTGACCAGAGGCCCCACTTCCTGCGCAAAGGGCCCCGCCTTCCCGGGCTCAGGCAGACACAGCGTCAATATTCTGGTTGCTGAGCCAGATAAAACGATGGTAACATCATAATTCTAGTTTTAGGTAATAAATATGTGTTGGGTACCAGAGTGACAAAGAAAAACTGCTAACAATCTCACCACTGAAATTAAGTCAGCTTCTTGTCATTTTCTGGTTTTCTCTTTCTTCAAAAAAATAAAGAAAAACAAACTAGCACAGGCTGCAGTGAAGCCCCTCCAGAGCAAGGACATGAGGGGACTGCAGTCTCCTTGGGAGTCAGACCACCAGCAGCGCACGTGACAGGACAGCAGAGAGAAGTGCGCACACACCACATGCACACCCGCACGGACGCACCCGGACGCACCCTGGGGAAGCCCACAGCCACGCCCATTCCACGCACATGCGCACAGACACTCTGCAGACTAGAGACAGGGTTCCTTCAGGCTGAAGCGGGAATGAGACTGATGGCGAAGGTGAAAGGAGACTTGGCCACTGCCATAAGGTTATCTTTCAACAAGGACGTATCCCCAGAATTACTTACGTAACTAAAAATGTTAAAAACGCAGACAGCACACCCCAGCCTCTGCCCTGGGCCTCAGACCACTGAAGGGGCAGCTCTTCCCTCTCGGGGGACACTCACCCTGCCCGCCTGGGTTCCAGCAAGGTAAGTAACACCTGTGTCCCGCTGACGAGGCAGAGCTCGGTCTGCACTCCATCAAACATGTTCCTCAGCAGCTGCTCCACGCACTCCTGCCTGTAGGACACGCACGAGGTCATGGCCCGGCAGGCAGACACACAGACTCCATCCCCACCGAAGGAGCAGCACCCTGAACCCCAGAGGGGCCCTACTTGGGGCTCAGGCTGGGCACCCAGGGTACTCAGGACACAGCTGCCCCAGGGCCCGTATTCTCTGGACCTACCAGGAGACCCCCAGAGACCCCTCCCCTGAGGAAGAGGTCCATCGAGGTAACCCTGGGTTGGGGCGAGCTCCTGACAAGTGATCAGAAGTGGCGGCGTCCCCGGCCCCCGCCCCCAGGCCCACAGCGCCACGGCCCACACTCACGACTCCAGCACCATGAGGAGGGGGTCTGGCTGCGGAGCCTCCAGCAGCTGGCCGCCCTGCTCCCTGCCCAGCCGGATGATGTCACAGAGCGTCTGCGAAGCATTAGACTGCCTCTGCAAGATGGGCACGCAGAGCCTGCCCTCAGGGCCAGCCTCCGCCCACAGGGTGCAGACCTGGCCGCCCCCCAAGAGTGCCCACTGGGCCTTGGTAGGCAAGTGCACCCCACAGATCCTGCTCCAGGTCTCTGCTTTAGATCAGTAAGTTGCTATTAATACAGAGGGTGAGTCCTGTGAGCTAATGAAAACAGGAAAGTTGCTACAGGGAACACAAAGGACTCAGCTTTTCTATGGAAACATGAAGCCCCGAAAATGCAAATTCTCTGACTTGGGGCACTTGACAACTGTGTGGGATCAGGCTATGGAGCAGGTGAACAGGATCAGAGGAAGACTCAGCTGCCGGCTCCGAGCAGGCAGCATCACATGCCCAGCCCTGACGTGCGTGGCACAGGGGATGGGGCTGCAGGAAGTGTTCTACGGCTCTTTCAGGGCAAATGAGAGCAGCCAGGTGCCCCCAGGCCTGGGGAGTGGCCAGTCGGCACCCAGTGCTCATCCCAATCTGGAGCCCAGCAACCCTTGCCCGCTGCCTGGTCAGCTCCATGGGCAACACAGCCCCACACAGCACAGCCAGGCAGCAGCCAAAGGTGAGACGCAAGTCAGCACCGCGTTCCCCGAAGCCCCGAGAATTGGGCGCAGCTGTCCCGAGTGGAAGATGCCTCTCCAGCCACACCTGACGCCCGCAGTGACGCCCCAGGAGAGGGGGCCGCCCCACAGGCTTCCTCCAGGGCTCACGCCCTGGGACTCCCACCTTGGGAACAAGACACAGCCAGTGAGGACCGTCCCTGAAAGGGGTGCCTGGGCCAGAGGAGCAGCAGCGGCTCTGAGCTGCCCACAGCGGGGGCGGGGAGGGAGGCGGGTCGTGGAGCTGAGGGCAGCCTCGGCCAGCAGCCCTCAAGAAACTCAGCCTTGCCAAGCCCCCAGGGGCGGATCCTGAGATGATCAAAGTCTTGTGACAGACCCTGGGCAGATGACCTGTAGCCCTGGCCCATAAAAACTGAGATAAAAAAGACTGTTACAAACAACTAACGTTTGGGGTAATCTGTTACTCAGCCACAGATAAGTAATACAATTCTATTTAAATTGATTTTTTATAATATGTATGTTTTATGTTTTAGAAAAAAACTGTCCAGAAGTCAGTGCCTGATTAGAGGAAGAGGAGAACTCGTCAGTCCGCGTCTGAGGAGGAGTGACCTGCCCTCAGACAGTGCTCACGGCCGCCCCGAGCTGGACTCCTGCCCCAAGGTGGCTCCGTGAGCCCTACTCACGTCTTCATCCTGACTTGGATGGATCAGCTCCACGAGTCTCTGGATGGTCCTCTCTTCATTAAGCCACTGAGAAGGAAACGGGGCCGTCAGCGGCCGCTCACCTGACTGAATGGAGGGGAGCCCTTCAGGGCAGCAGGGATCTACGGCCAAGCTCGAGCGGACACCTCGCTGCGCCGGCGCGCGCCCAGGCCCAGCAAGCACAGGCGGTGGCCGAATTCGGGAATGACCCGAAGACACCAAGAGGAAGGAGGCCCCGTCCACATGAGCCCATGGTTCACTTGAGCACAGGCGACTGCTCGCAGGACACCGCCGCGGCAGAGCCGGGAGCACCGCTGCCGGGGCCTGGGGGCGCGCCCCGGCACACAGCCCAGCTGCTCCTGGCCGCACTCGGGCCTTCCTGGCTCCTCCCCGTGCTTCCTTATCCAGAGCAGGCTCAGCGTGTCCAGAGCAGGGCTCCCACCAGCTCCTAACAACGCTGATGTTCACGCTGTGCTAACCAAGCCACAACTGCTACTACAGTTCGTGCCTGGTGGGCGGCTACTCCGTGATGAAACGAGGTTATGAACCCAAGAGGGACAACAGTCAGTGCCAGGAGCTGGAGACTGGCCACAAGGACCAATCTTCTTACTCATCTTACTTTAAATTACAAACAAAACCTGCCAGTCAACAGCTAACAGTGACCCAGCAGAGATCTCCCGGGCTCCCTAGCTGAGCACCCTCTCTTTTCTGGGAAGCCCAGGGAGCTGTGGGGGCACCTCGCTGCGAGAGTGTCAGGACAGACATAGGCACGGGTGGTAGGACCGACAGCAGGCCAACTCCAGGGTGCGCAACCTCTCTGCGTGGAGCCCTGAAGGCAAGTGCTTCCTCACAGGCAGGCGCCCGGGCACAGGACGAGCGCCCAACAGAGCCCTGGCAGCCCCCAGGGGGAAGGCGCAAGCAAGGAGTCCCCCGCTCTCTGCTTGGGAACAGATCGCAGCAAGACAAGGGAAAAGGTGCAGAGGACAGATCCCACCTCAAACACAAGCCGCCATGAGAACCCCTGAGGGCCCAGCCAGGAGGGAAGGTCCTGCTGGGTGGAAAGCTGGGTGCCGGGCACCCCAGCGCTGCTCTGCCAGCTCCCGCCTCCCTACGCCAGGCGCTTAGTCCACACTCAGAGAAGCTGCAGAGCCGCGCAGACAGGGAGGAGGGGCCCACACACTCACGTGCAGGACTTCCTGCCTGAGTCCAGCAGGTTCCACGCAGCTGACCAGGCGCAGCAGCAGGTCCATGAGGGCCGACGTGCCGATGTGCTTCAACACCAGGCTGATGAACTTGTCCTTCTTCCTCAGGAACGCAATCACCTGCAACCAGATGGGGTCTGAGAGGCGAGCAGGGCAGGCCCTGACACTAGGAAACACTGTCTTCCCCCGAGAACTGCCATAGAAAGATTCATTTACAGCAACACTGAGCAGAAATAATGGAAAGACATGGAAAGAGTTGTAAGAAAGACGCCCTCAGTGACAGGCAGAGACCTGAACACAGACAAGTCCAGGAGGCATTGGGGAGCCTGAGAGGGCCCTGGGCTGGCAGAATTTCCCCCACACTGAGCCTGGGCACCGATGGGGCCCAGAAACCTGAGTGAGAAGGCGCAGTGACCACTCCATACACACTGCCTCAAGTCTTCCCCGCAGGAATGGCCAGTGCAAACAGAGCTGACAGTCCCCGGACACGAGTCACAAATCTGGAAAGCTGACAGGCCCTGTAGATGGCGGAAGGGACAGGACTGAGGTTTTGGAAAAGGAGGGTGGAGAGGCGGCTGGCGGGTGGCTGAGCACAGATGGCTGGGAGAGGCCCATGCAGAGGCCTCCTTGGCCACCGAAATAAGGGGCCTGCGAGTTCAGGCCACTGCACTGAGGCAGACCCAGGGCTCTACCGGGGCCATGGGACACGCAGGAGGCAGGGGCTCCCAACTGTCCTCATTCTGGAAGTGAAGCAGGGAGGAGAGGCAGGAGGAGGAAGAGAGGGAAAAGAGGCAATGGGGAGCAGGGGGACTGGTAGTTGAACAGAGCGGTTAAACTTGTAGAAACGGGAGACAGCAGGGAAGGCTCCGGGAACATCCGTGTACACCCGACAGATACAGACACTGTTACAAGAGCACATCAGGAACAAGTTTATGCCAAATTCTGTAAGTTTGAAAAAATAAGTTTCTTTGAGAAACATATTTATATAAACTGAGAAAAAGGAAGAAAAAATGGAGTTTGAGCATCAAAAGAAACAAAATCTATAATTAAAAGCCTCCCCATACAGAAAACTCCAGCCTGCAATAGCTTTACTAGAGAATTCTGTCAAACATTTGAAGAAAAATATCCCAATCTTATGCAGGACTCCCCAAGGAAACATAAAATGAGAGCATATGCCCCATATCATTGTATGAGGACATAAAATCTTGATTCCAAAACTTCCTGTGGGAACTTTAAGAAAAGGCAACGATGGAAGGACCTGCCGCGGTGCATGGAGAACTCCACTCAGCACGCTGTCAGGCCCATGTGGCCAGAGTCTGGCACACGCAAACGCAAACTGCCGCGCTGTGCGCCTGGAACCGACGCAGCACTGCACCAGCCACACCCAACAGAAGTCCTTTTCAAAGGACACCATAAGCCAATCTCACTGATGACAACAGACAAAAAGGTAAAAAAAAAAAAAAGCAATATGAAAAAAAGCATAATGTATCACCATGAAGTTGAATGTATTCCAGGAAATCGACAATTATCTCAGTAAAGTTTCTCAATAAAAAAGATACTGTTTAGAACAACAGTATCTTTATATTTATGAAAAAATGAAAAAAAATATGAAAAGTATATTTATGAAAATATAAAGCACCTAAGAATAAACATAACGAAAAATATGTAAGACTGCTACCCTGAGAACAAGGTTCCTGAGAGAAATTAAAGAAGCCCCAACTTCTCAGCTTTTCACTAGAGTACAAAAAGCAGCCACACGGGGGCGGCTGTGCTTCAGAAAAGTGTTTTTTTTTTTTTACAAAAACAGGTGGCAGGTTGGTTTTGGCCTATGGGCTGTAATTAGCCAACCCCAATCTATAGGTAGTGCAAGCCTAATCAAAACTTCAGCAGGTTTTTCTGGGGAACAGGGTAAAATGTGTAAAGTGACAAACTCATTCTAAAAATCTGCTCATCCTAAAATAATGCAAAGGCAAAGAATCGTAAAAACAACCTTGAAGAAAACAAAGTGAGAAGACTGATTCTATAAAATATCAAAACTTATAAGTCTACAGTAATTAAGATAATGTTGGGTTCATAATTACAAACAGGACTGACTGCAGAACAGAAACAGACATACCCGTGTGTCTGCAAGAGGAACGTATGGTGCCGAGTCCACTGGATGCCACAATAAAAAACACCTCAACCTTACATCATTTATAAGAATCAATTTCAGGTGGATTGTAGGTAGAAATATCGAAAGTAAAACAATAAAAATAAATTAATTTTCTGGGCTCCAAAATCACTGCAGATGGTAACTGCAGCCATGAAATTAAAAGACGCTTACTCCTTGGAAGGAAAGCTATGACCAACCTAGACAGCATATTAAAAAACAGAGACATTACTCTGTCAACAAAAGTCCGTCTAGTCAAGGCTATGGTTTTTCCACTAATCATGTATCACATGGATGTGAGAGTTGGACTATAAAGAAAGCTGAGCACTGAAGAATTGATGCTTTTGAACTGTGGTGTTGGAGAAGACTCTTGAGAGTCCCTTGGACTGCAAGGAGATCCAACCAGTCCATCCTAAAGCAGATCAGTCCTGGCTGTTCATTGGAAGGACTGATGCTGAAGCTAAAACTCCAATACTTTGGCCGGCCACCTGATGTGAAGAGCTGACTCGTTGGAAAAGACCCTGATGCTGGGAAAGATTGAAGGCAGGAGGAGAAGGGGACGACAGAGGATGAGACGGTTGGATGCCAGCACTGACTCAAACGACATGGGTTTGGGTGGACTCCCAGGAGTTGGTGATGGACAGGGAGGCCTGGTGTGCTGCGGTTCATGGGGTCGCAAAGAGTCGGACACCACTGAGCGACTGAACTGAACTAAAAACAATAAAGCTTCTAAAAAATAATACAGAGTATCTCTATGATTTTGAAGTAGATAAAAGCTTAACGGACAAAACAGACAAACAAAAAAATAAATAAAGACTTATGACTTGCACTACATGAAAATCAGAACCTCTGTTCATTAAAAAAATACAATTAGGAGAGTAAAAACCAAAAAAAAAAACCAAACAAAAACAAAAAAAACAGCAGACAGAGTAAGAAAAGATGTTTGCAACACAAAACCAACAAAGGGAGAATTCCCTAGCAGTCCAGTGATTCAAACTTGAGCTTCCACTGCCGAGGGAATAGGTTCAATCTCTGGTCAGGGAACAAAGATCTGGTAAGCTGTGTGGCACAACCAAAAAAAATCAGAGGACTTGTATCCACAAAACAGAGAATTCTACAAATGAAAACAAAACAGAGGCTGAAAGAAAAAGGGCAAGAGACTTCACACAAAAAATATCCAAATGGCCGATTAATATACAAAAAGATGCTCATCCTCACCAGTTACCAAAGTGATGCGAGTTAAAACCACAACGCTGTTATCCACATCTATCAGAAAAGCTGAAGTAAACCGACTGGTCGCACCAAAGGCTGGAGAGGAAGTACGGCAGCAGGAACTGTGCTCTCCTGCTGGGACCGCGGACAGCCTCAAGCACCTTCACGTCAGCCACTCACGTTGCCCACAGGACGTAACACCAGGAGAAAGAAGTCCTCATGCTTCAGAGACTCACACTGCACTGCTTACAGAACCAACTCGCTGTCTGGGGTTCGTTCTGAAACCGCACTGGAGATGGTGAGCAGGGACAGGAGACGAAAGACTGACATGCCAGCTCCTGAAGCGGGCGCCGGGCACACTGCACAGCCGCTCTGGGACGTGTGGGGCAGGCGCACGCATTGTCCCCAGGAGAACCGCGCTCCAGCTGGATGAGGCGAGCTCACCCCACGCTTTACAGAAGCCTGTAAAAGCGGGGCGTTCCTTTTATTTTTTGGCTGCACCATGTGGCTTATAGGATCTTAGCTCACCAACCGTGCCACCTACAGTGGACACACAGAGTCCTATCCATTGGACAGAGGAGAACTTCCGTTTATTTGCTTTGAGACAGTAAGTGCCCTAGACTCAAAGAAGTCTTCCCCAGGTGGCGCCAGTGGTAAAAAGTCCGCCTGTCAATGCAGGAGACACAGATTCCATCCCGGAGTCAGGAAGATTCCCCAGAGAAGGAGATGGCTACCACTCCAGTATTCTCGCTTGGAAAATCCCAAGGACAGAGGAGGCTGGCTATAGTCCATGGGGTTGCAAAGAGCTGTGCTGGGAGCCAACACACGAGACCCTACCCCTAACAAGGCCGTGAGGGAGAAAGCCTGACGGGCAGGGCGGATCAGGTTTTCAGGGGTTTCGAAAAGGCCAGCTCACGAGATTCCACCCATGACAAGGTCACGAGGAGAAAGCCTGACAGGCAAGGCGGATCAGGTTTTCAGGGGTTTCGAAAAGCTGCCCCCGGCGCTCACCTTAAAGATGATATCTGTCTTTCTGATGCCTGCCTCCATGGACTACTCCCTAATTTCTCTGACACAGGCAGGAAGGCCTTCCCCGATCTCTTCCAAATAAGAATCAATTTAGAACTTTAATCAATAAGTTTCCCAGGTGGTGGTATTTTATGAGATTATCCAGGGTGATAGGAGTGTTTTAATTTAAACTCCTTTGCTGGCAGTTTGTTAGCCAAATGCATTTATGCCCTTGGTACTAATATGCATGATTGCTTATAATATCCTAATCATAAAATAGCATAAAGAACCTGATTATATATAATAATTATATATAAAAGCCCTGACAGACATAGAGCCTTTTTAAGGGGTAAAGGAGTCCTATTAGAAAACATAAGAAAAATTATTCTATAGGTGGTTATTGGGTTGTGATTTGCTTGCTGTGTTTTTGCTTGCTGTATTTTTGCCTTTAATGTGCTAAGGTTGTGTTATAAAAACCATTGTTAATATAGTTAAAGATCTAGAGAAATAAGAACTTAGCCCTACTGTGGTAACAATGAGATGGTTGTTAATTGTCAGCTAGGAGTGCTAGGCAGAAGGTGCCTCACCAAAGTCGCAGAATCAGTGTGGGGTAAACTTCTTAGATAAACGCAACTGACAACTTTTGCAGAAAGATTAATTTTTGTATTAACAAGAATATAATTCTACTCTGTACTATTTCCCTATGACACTGTTACCTTTCAGTTAAGGTCACCATAAAAACAGAAAATAGGCTTACAATCACCTGACCTGCATGAAATGTTAATAGCCCCAAGGCCAGAAGATCATGTGCTAAGAATTACTATAGAATTAAAAAGCAAAAAAAAACCCTGCTTTTCCTAAAAATCAAACTGATGTAATGCTAATCCTGTGTAATCATGAGTAAGCATCTTGTACCTTGAAAACGTTCTGTGAAAGGGTATAAAACCGGTTGTCAAAGAGTAAAACGCAGACTTGGCCCCATCAAGGCTAGTCTCACATGTCTCCTCTCTCTCTCACAGACGCCGTTCATCCTGAGGGTACCCCCTGGATCCTGCCGAGGCTGGACCCCGGCAGAGCTGGGCACGACTGAGCACACATGCATGGTATACACACAGACACCCGCCACCCACAGAGATGCAACAGAAGGAGCCCTAGGGCCCTAGCATCACGCAGGCACACCTGGGACCTCACGCCAGGACCGGTGAGGGAGGGGACAAGCCGGCCGAGCCTGGGGCCCTGTGCACTCCCGAACAGGGCACGGGCCGCTCATGCAGAGCGGGCCAGTGGCCCTCTCTCTTGGGAAGACAGCTTCTTCATCCGTCCCAGCTCCCACGGCAGCAGCCATGCGGCTCCAGGTGTGTCCCTCAGAGCAGTCAGAACCCGCCCCCAACAGCGACGGCTGATAGCATGATCGGCATCAGCCAAGCCTCCCTCCCAAATCACGCGGGCTGGGTGGATGACTACCTGTTCAGTTTTTCTTGCAATGAGATTGCCAATGGTCTTGCTGAAGAAACTGGCGAGCAGAGGATTGAGGGGCGGCTCACGGTCTAGGAAGTTGTAAAGAACGTTCAGCAAAGTCTCATCCCCTCCCAGCCTGTCGTTGATTTGTGGCACGTCGCATGTCAGTAGCTCGCAGGCTGTATTCGGGTATCTGCAGGGGCACAAGGCAATGGCTGGGTGTGAACTGGGCTTCTCCACTGCTCAGGAAGCTGCTCAACAGTCTTCTCTTCGGAAGCAGCTCCACAGGCAAAACCCAAAATGGCTAGACCTCTCAACAGAATAAAAAAAAAAATGTGATTATTCTGTGACCAACCGGCATGTTTTACTAGAAGCTCAGCGCTGAGTCATCCTCTCTGCTGGCTCCTTACACCCTAGACCTGATGCCCTACACTCCAGGACTCCGTGCCTGTTTCCTACGGACCCCCTTCTAATCTTCCGGCCTCTCCTCCGCCCTCCACTCTCCTGCCAGGCCTGCCACAGGCGTCAGGCCGTCCTCCCCGCTCCACGCCCTGCTCACCCCCACACCCCAACATGCAGAGACCGGCCATGCCCAGACCGAAGCAACCCGCGTCACAGCTGATGATGAAGCACCAAGCCACGTGTTATGTGAATTATTACTAAGAAACGCTGTCTCGCTATCCATACTGTTTGCTGAACCCGGGGCAGGCAAGGCGCGAGTGGGGAAGCTGGACGAAAGCTCGAGGGCCACAGGACGGCAGGCGTGTTCTGTTCCTCCCTGACCGGCACAGCCGCCGCAGCAGCAGACACGGCGGCCTCTCCTCTCGCTGCTGACCCAGTGGGCAGTCCTAACGCAGCCGTGAGACAGCCATGACCCGGAGGCCAGGGCTTTTCAAGTGGAGCTTATACATGTTTACAGAATACAAGTGGGCCACGTGGGCACACCGTGCCGTGCGTGTGCAGTAAGTTGCCTCAGCTGCTGTACAGCCATGCACTTACAAACGTGGGGGACGGGCCTGCGGTGAGAAAGCCTGGCCACCGCCGTTTTGGCTAATGGGCTATTTCCCTACAAATATCAATATGTGTAAAAATGTATTATTCCTTTGATAAAAATGATCAGACACAACACAGTCCTGATCCCAGCATGTATAACCTCATCCCACTGTGCTCCCTGCCTGACCCTCTCACAGACATGGTCTCATGGATCACACGAGACGCCACATGGGTCTCACAGACATGTGGCGCCGGACAGGCCTGCAGCATCCAGAGCCCACCATAGCAGTGCAGAGACAAGGCCTGGGGCCACACACGGCATGCCGGGGAACATCGGTGAGGGTGCCCAGGGCCAGGGCAGCTGGAGCCTGCCAGAAGCCCTGCGGCACAGGGGGCACATGCCGCACGGGGCCTGCTGTGTGGCCTCAGGCACACGAGTGAGCCTGAGTCTGAGCCGCAGCATCCAAACAAGGGGGGCCGAGTGTCCCCCCCCAGGCTGTGCATAGAGCGGAGCGGAGCCTGGCACACGGCCAGCCCCGGGTCAAGGTCGGCCGCAGCGACCCTCCAGCTCCGGGAAGCCACCCAGAGGGCTCCAAACTAAGGCGCTCACTGTGGGTCAGCTAGAGGGGCCTAGGGTTCAGAAGCTCCAGAGGAAGCAGCTGACTGCGCGCATGGCCCACCAGGCACAGCAGGGGTGGGAGCAGGGCCGTCAGTGTGGCTGTGGGGCAGGTGTGCCCCGAGAGCCCAGGGAGCAGAGGCCCCACGGGGGCCCCAGAGGACGCTTTCCAACTGCGGTGTTGGAGAAGACTCTAGAGAGTCCCTTGGAGAGCAAGGAGATCAAACCAGTGAATCCTAAAGGATATCAATCCTGAATATTCATTGGAAGGATTGGCCACCTGATGGGAAGAGCTGACTCACGGAAAAGACCCTGATGCTGGGAAAGACTGAAGCAGCAGCAGAAGGGGATGATAAGAGGATGAGATGGTTGGATGGCATCACTGTCGTGACGTGAGTTTGAGCAAACTCCTGGAGATGGTGAAGGACGAGGAAGCCTAGAGTGCTGCTGTCCATGGGGCCACAGAGAGTCAGACACCACTGAAGGAGTGAATGAACAAACACACCTCCCCCAAGTTACCAAGGGCAGGTTCAAACAGTAGCTGGTCAGAGAAGGGAGAGGCTGAAGAAACAAGGGAGGGGCAGTCAAGAAACAACTGTACAGCTCTGGGGCAGGGTCCTTGCTGTAGCTCAGTTGTGTCTGACTCTTTGCGACCCCAAAGACTGCAGCACGCCATGCTTCCCTGTCCTTTGTCAACTCCTGGAGTTGGCTCAAATTCATGTCCGCTGAGTTGGTGATGCCATCAAACCATCTCGTCTTCTGTCATCCCCGTCTCCTCCTACCTTCAATCTTTTCTGGCATCAGGGACTTTTCCAGTTGGTTGGCTCTTCCCATCAGGTGGCCAAAGTACTGAAGCTTCAGCTTCAGTGTCAGTCCTTCCAATGAATATTCAGGGTTCATTTCCTCCAAGATTGACTGGTTGGCTCTCCTTGCAGTCCAAGGGACTCTCAAAGACTCTTCTCCAGCACCACAGTTCAAAGACATCAATTCTGCAGCGCTCAGCCTTTTTTACTGTCCAGCTCACACAACTATACATGACTACTGGGAAAACCATAGCTTTGACTAGACGGACCTTTGCAGGCAAAGTAATGTCTCTGCTTTCTAATATGCTGTCTAGGGTGGTCACTGCTTTTCTTCCAAGGAGCACGCATCTCCTGCTAAAGGGATACACACAACAATACCTTTGAGCTCTTCAGTAGAACTAAGCCCCCCACCCACCCACGGATGACAGTAACTTCAGGCTGAGCCCAAGATTCCTGGAGCTCTGCCCTGTTACCTCACCACCAACCAAAGAGAAGAAAGCACCACATCGCACAGCCCTCACCTCAAATTCGCCTATAAGTTTCTCCCCTAAAACTACTGAGGAGTTCAGGCTTTTGGGCACTGATGCCAAGCAAGGCCCTCTAGGGTCTCCCAGGCAAGGAGGCCTTTTTGTCCCCCATTTCCTTTAGACAAAGCATCAATTCTTGGCTCAGTGGTAAAGAATTTGCCTGCTGACACGAAAGACACAGGTTCAATTCCTGGGTTGGAATGATCCCCTGGAGAAGGAAATGGCAACCCACTCCAGTATTCTTGCCTGGAAACTTCCATGGACAGAGGAACCTGGTGGGTTCTAGTCCATGGGGTCACGACGAGTCGGACATGACTGAGCGCGCGCACACAGCCTTCTTTTTTTTTTTCACAGCCTTATTCTTATAGACAAGACTGCAGCTTCCATGCCCTTCTTCTGAGTTCCAAAAGGCAGAACAGTTACTAACCAGAGGAGGAGCAGCCAGGAAACCACATGCAGAGAGGCCCATAAAAGAGTAGGGACGGCCACCAGAGACCCCGCACACAAGACGCTCGTCTTGTCGGCAGCCCCGCTCCTAGGGAGTGTGCAGAAGAGAGAATGCGAGACTGTCACTGCTCTGGTCCTTATCACACACTCCCGCCTGACGACATAATCTCCCCCGACTCACCACGAAGCGGGGGCGCAGTCCTTGAGGCATCAGCCTATTTAGTGTTCCCCTTTTGCCTGGCAAAGTAGTAAAGCCATTTCCCTGGTGGCTTAGACGGTAAAGAATCTGCATGTAATACAGGAGACCAGGTTTGATCCCTGGGTTGAGCAGATCCCCTGGAGAAGGGAATGGCAGCCCACTCAAGTAGAATCCCATGGACAGAGAAGCCTGGTGGGCTACAGTCCATGGGGTCGCAAAGAGTCAGACAGAACTGAACAAATAACACTTTCTTTTCCTTCTCCACAACTCTGTCCTCATGTTTCTGTCTGGCAATGGCGCACAGAGAGCCAACATTTGGCAACAGCACAAGCCACCTCTTCTTGCTCAGCCCCACAGTAAACAGCATTGCTCTGCTCCCACCTCTGACGTGCCCGTTTGGCCCCGCAGCGCTCCGCGCACAGGAGCCTGTGCCTGTGGCTCAGCGAGGCCCGCAGGCACACGGTGACCCCCAGGCAGGGGGGGGGGGCTCACGGCAATGGGCCTCCCTGGTTTTGTTCGCTTTGTTTTGTACTTATTTATTACTAATTTCTCCCAAACTCTCTGACTATAAAGTGCCACTTCTGAGATCCCCCTGTCCTGACCCAGGGGATAAAGTCCTGGGAAACTGCAGAGCACCAGAGTTAAAGGCCCTGGGATGCCCCTGAGGAAAACTGGGGGCCTGTGGCATCAGACCTGTCAGCAGCAGGGCTGGAGTCAGGAAGAGAAGGTGTGAAGAGCCGTGTGGACGTGTCAGTGAACACAGGCTGCCCCCAGCCCTGGCAGCCCCGCGGGGACCCTCCATAGAGCCGCCACCCTCACTCAGGACGGGAGTGCACAGGATGCGGCAAGACAGCTGCAGGGCAGGCCAGAGGAGTGGTGCCCTGAGCCCAGACCCGGAAAGGCGCTCAATCCGGAACTGAGTCGTCTGGTCTTCTTTAATGAACAGTAAGCTTCTGAAGTTCTGACTACCTGGTCTTTGTTGTAAAACCTCCTACACATCTTGGCTCCTCATTCGCCTCTTCAGAGGCCTCCCTGAGTGATCTGGGAGTCCTGTCCCCAGGTCCTTCAGAGAGTCCGCCAAGTAAAACGTAATTTTCAGCTTGTAAGTTGTGCTTTTTTTTTTTCAGTTGACAAAGACAACCCTGGAGTCTTCACAACGACAGGAGAACCATGTTCAGTCTGGACATGACCCATCAAGGCCAGCCAGAGGGAGAAGGATGCACTCAGACTGCGCCCCAGCGGTGCCAGCCACGCAGCCCTTCTCAGGAGGCTGTCAGAGAACAGAATTCGCCAGGGGCAACAGGCAAAAAGAGAGAAGGACGAAACCCGGGAACACAGGAGGTGGCTGCAGGAATTACCAGGTGAGGAAGGGGAGTCCAGGGCCGTCACGGTGGAGGCTCCCAGGGCCTCCGCACACCTCTCTGTGGTGTGCCTGGCTGCTCCCCAGGCGCTCGGCGTCCCCCTCTGCTCTGCCCTGCAGGATGGGGTGGGGGTGCGGGAAGCCCTCCCTGGGCTGCTGGACCCAGCCCTGCTCCCCACAGGCACGCAGGTCTCACTGACTCAGGAAGAGGAAGCCCTCCTCCATCCACTGCCACACCACCGCATCAGAAACAACAGTGGGAGCTTGGCATCCACCTGCGGACTCTTGTCTCATTTCTCAAATGGTCCAAAGCTCAGCAGACAAACTGCATGGGAACCTTAAGAAAGAGCCAGAAGCATCCTCAGGAATCGGGCCAGCTCCTGGCCCCGGGCTGCTGCACAGGGCCTCACCTGCACGGAGCTCCTCTGGCATTAGCAGAGCAGCCAACCACTCAGAGTGGCCCCCAGGCCCCGCTCTCAGGGGCACCCCTACTTCCCAGACGGGTCTCTGCATAATCCAGCCTGCAGCCAGCGGGCTGACGCGGCCGTCAGGGCGGCCACAGGGGCAGCTGTCTGGAGGCTAAGACGAGTGGGCTCCTGCCCACACGCTCACGCCCAGCACCCGGAGGGCCATGCCGAGTGGCTTGACAGAGACCCACGGCTCAGAGCCTGAAACAGTCCAATCTGTACCCTTGGCTCCTCTGAAAAATAATCCTGACCCCACATCCTCCTCCAGCTACTACCTCATCCATCCACCCAGCCTATTTCTCTTTTCAAAAAGGACATTTAATTTTAACTAAAAGCAAACTAATCTTTAATAAGCAAGTTAATTTTAAAATTAACTTTTAAATTAAAAAGGTTCTACTATTTTTAACAGGTGACACGCACACATGTTTTAACAACTGAGTATGACCAGGCTCGTGAGGAAGAGCCCCCATCCCCACCTGCAGGCCATACTGCTGAGACAGTCACCACAGCCTCTTGGCACCTTCTCTATTATTCACCTCCATGTTTCTAAATAAAACACAAACAAACATCTTCAGCAACTGCAGGCACTACAAACCGACCTCCTGTGTGACGCTGGAGCTCTCACATCATCCGGCCCATCCACCCCATTGCCCTCTCCCCACCTCCATAAAATTATACCACAATTCTTAATTAAATCCCTATCTGGGGCTGCCCTTTTGTGTAAACAGGCAAACGCTGTCCCACCTGTTTACTTGGATGTGTCCCTGCCCAGAGAAGCGGGCTTCCTTGCTCTCCTGTTTGCGCTCGCTGACTGCCGATCTCCGCAGACTCTGACTGTAACGCTCTCCCAGTCTCTACTGCCACACTAGGACCCTCTGCCCAGGGGCACAGCCGGCCCCGCAGCCCTCCTCCCCATCCCACTGCTGCCAGCACCTCAGACAGGAGACCCTCACTCGGGCAGCAGCAGGACCCCTTTGGGAACAAAAGAATTAAAGGAGTGGGGTCACTAATGGCGACGCGGAGGTAAGACCAGGCACATCTCAAGAGATGGTCTGACCGCCTCTGGCCCCCCACAGGTGGTGGCCCCGAGCCCCGGCTCCTCCATAAGCAAGTCCCTGCCCCTCTCTGGAGCACTGCAGTCAGACGGATGTGCAGACCACAGCCCTGACCCCGCCCCCCACCCGTCGGCTCATCTTGCTTTGTCTCCTGAGTCACCAAAGACATTCTACAGTTGGTCAGAGAGTAACTATTTTAGAAGGTCTATGCTGTCACGGCCAACAGGTCATGGGTGTATCCAACAAGACTTTACTGATGGACAATGGAATGTGAATTTTGCCATTTTCAGACAAATAAACACTATTTTTTCATTTTTTTCCCAGCCATTTTAAAATGTAAAACCATTTTCAGTTGGCAGGTTCTACAAAAAAAAAAATCTGACCACAGGCTGGACCTCCGTAGCCTGTTCTAAGACGTGACCACACATGCCGACCCCAGTGGGACACGTGAGCAGCTGAGGGCACCCTGTCTGCCCTGACTCCCTGTGCCACCAAGCCCTGCTCCTGCACGTCCCAGGGTCTGAGTGCGATCCGAGCGGCACCCTCAGAGTCAGAGGCCAATGCTGGGTCCTTCCCACCACCCGAGGCCCTGCCGTTCACACTCCGCTGTCCGCACCGAGCCCTGGTCCCAGGTCCCCACTTGGTCCCTTCTGTCATCTCCTAACGTCACACCTCTGAGACCAGTTGGGACAACTAAGGACACAGCACATTACCTCCAGGCAGGAGACCCCACGGTCAAGCGGGCACATGCTGCCTGTCGCTGGGGACTGGCCATTTCACCAGGCTAAGCGCATGTATCGGCCTGTCAGGGCTCAGCCTTTTTCCAGTACACATTTACCCAAAACGCTTCAACGCACGGCACTGCTGCTCACTGCAACCTAGGGTGAGGACTCACACACGGGGATCCCCAGACCTTAAACATCACAGCAGCAAAGCCCACTGGGCCCCTCTCACACGTCAGGTGGGGTCAATGTTCAGGGTCAGTCACTCCCTTCGAAAGTTTGGCCCCGGCCGTCCTCAAGCCCTGCCCACTGCCCCCCGAGTGCGGCCCGGCCCGGTACCCACTTGAAGCGGGCCCTCTCCTCCAGGTCCAGGGCCGGGTCCTGAGTCACAAGGCCCACCAGCTCCTCCATGCTCTGCCGCCGGCACAGGAAGTCCAGCAGTTTCCGGTTCTGGGCCTTGCACTCCTGCAGGATGTCTTCTCCATCCATCAGCTCCCGCAGTGTCACGCCCTCCTTATCCAGCAGCTTGTCAACGTGCGACGTGGTGCTCAAGTCAAACTTCCAGAACATGGTGCCGGCCACAGAGCTGCAAGCAGACAAGAGGGTCACTTCCCCCAGCCTGCGCACGCCGGCCTCAGCCACCCTGCACCCAAGTCCCAAGTCCACGCTGGCCGGCCTGGGCTGCAGGGGGTGGCCCCGCGGGCCGCCCCCGGCCTCCTCCCCTCTCGCTGGAGCTCCTGCTCACGGCCCCAGGCCCCTGAGGCCACACATGCCTGTCTCCCCATGTCAGACAGCGAATACCCCTCCACCCAAAGAGTTCACGACTCACAAACCTCCTCCCAGTGTCCACTTCCCTCTTCAATCAACACAGACCACCTCTTCCCAGATGTCTCCAAATCATGTACATTTTTAACTTTCTGTACATTATCTTTGAAAAAACTTTCTGATTGAGGAGAGACGGCCCCTCCTGTGCAGCCAGCTCTGAGAGCAGCAAAGTGTTTCCGTGAGCGCATTTCCAGCCTGCAGGCTGAACCCCCAGCCCCACCCCACCCCCGCAGGCCCACACGCCAGGAGACCCCTTCCTCTGCTTTCATCATCCCAGCACCAGGGACCAGGGACCAGGCAACCAGAAGCCACCCACATAGCTTAAAGCCTGCCAAAATTATCCAAGCAAGCTGACCCTAAGCAACTCCCCCTGCCCGGCCTCGCCTTTCATGTGGAAACCCCACAGAGGCCACAGCCTCAGCTACCCACCCTCCCCCACTCCTGCCTCCTGAGCCCCGGGCTTCCCTACTTGGCCCCGCTGAGGTCGGGGCTGCCCGTCTCCAGGACCCAGGAGGGCAACAAGCTTTGCTCTCCTGTCTCTCCTCTGCCTCCTCGCGAAGCCACACCTGCCCGGCCACTTCACAGGAAGCACAGAACAGTTCACAGAACAAACCCAGCAGGCCAAACTCACGACAGCTCCTTCCGCTCCATCTCTGCTCCTCTGCCACCCCCACCTCCCTGCCCCCGTTCCCCGTGACCTTGCTGGGTGAGCAGGGCTGCCCCTGAAGCCACCACTCCCCCGCCGGCACACTGCGGCACTAGACTCCCCACCAAGGGCCTCTAACCCAGCAGCCCTTGGGCCGCAGCCCCACCCTGTCCCAGCCCTGGCTCTCTGTGTCCGGACTACACAGGGTCTGACCACTCAGCCAATTCTCATGGCAGTCTGTGAGCCTAGGGTGGTCTGCAACAAAGTTTTCAGTGTTGGATACAAAATGAAAAACATAAGCCTGTATTTTTTAATTAATCAATTATTTATTTCTGCATTGTTGCACTGGGTCTGTCGTGCCTTTCTCTGGTTGCGGGGAGCAGGCACTATGCTCCTTCCAATCTCAGGCCTCTTCGATCTGCGGTGGCTTCTCTTGCTGCGGAGCATGGGCTGTGGATACTTGGGCATCAGCAGCCGCCGCGCACGGGGTCCAGAGTGTGGGCTCAGCAGTTGTGTTAGGTCCAGCTGCTCCGCCACATGTGGGATATTCCTGGACCAGGGATCAAACCTGTGTCCTCTGCACTGGCAGGCAGATTCTTATCCACTGTACCACTAGGGAAGTCCTCAAGGTCTGTATCTTTAACAAAGTCAAACCTGTGTTTTGAGATTATGAATCTTTTCAGTGTTAAATCACTATTTACAAAATCATGATGATAACAGACGGGGGATTTATCTGATCTAATATTTTTATTGAGAAGAGTAAAGGACTCCCCACACGACAGGAAGCCCTAGTTTGTGTGTGTGAAGGCCACCTCTCAGGAGCCCATGGCACAGGCCCCCCAGCTGTCCAGCCATGCCCTCCACTGCTTCTTGTCTTTGCTGCATTGAACTCCTTTTTCCAAAACACAGATGTCTTCATGTTCCTCTCACGTTGGCGTTAAAGCCTGTCTGGCCACAAATGCCCACGACTCACGAGGGTTCTTTTCCTAATGTGCCTCCAGGTCCTCTGGGGACTTCCTGCTGCCTCTCCAATTCCACCCTTGCCACAAGTATGTTATCTCTCTCCCAACACAAACCGCACTCTGCCTTTACCCTTCTGCACATGCTCCTGTGCTCGGGCCCTTCACTGACAAAAATCCCACTTGCCAGCAAGACTCAGATGTAAGGCCACTTGAACATTCAGTGCAGGGACTCCGCAAGTCAACCTGCACTCAATGTCCATCTAGGCCCTAATATCTTCCTCATTTCCCGTGAGGAGTGCAGATGGGTATTCATGTCGTCAGTCACAGACACCAGGGGACCAGAAAAAAGGTCACTAGACGGACCTCAGGAAGAGATGGCTGTCCCCACACATCAGTGCCTTCTCCCCTAAAGTCCTACAGGGCGACTTGTGCACCTGGACGACACACAGTCCAGGCGGGAGACCCCCGCCTCACCAGGGCTGTTTTTCCAAACAAGAACTTGCCAGACAGGGAAGCTAGAGGTGGTCTCTTTGTGTCCTGTCTTCAGCCAGAGTGGGCAAGTGTCCTGAAGTCAGCTTGTCCCACACTAACACAGTACACCATTCTCCTAGTTCATATTTGCTACATCCTGCAACATCCTTTTACTGTCAACATATCTGTATCTTCATATTTAAAGTGTTTCTTTTCTAAACAGCACACAATTGATATGGTCTTGCTTTGTTATTCTGTTATTCTTTGCCTTTTAATTAAAGTACTTAGATTATTTAATGTAACATGGTTGGGTTTAAGTAATTTGAAAAAAAATATAACACATTTATGATTTAAAAAAAAAAGACTCAATAAATTAGGAATAGAAGGGAACTTCCTGAACCTGATAAAGAGCACCTACTAAAAAACCTATAGTATCAGCACACTTAATGTGCTGAAAAGACTGAATGTTTTCCTCCTAAGACTGGAATAAGAAACTAAGCACGTCTATTCAAGATTCTATTCAAGATCTACTTCTACCCAAGGTAGTACTACAAGACAAGGAAAAAACACATAAAGATTTTAAAAGGATGAGTAAAACTGGCCTTACTCACAGACGACACGACTGTGTAAGCAGAAATGCCTAAGAAATCTGTATGGAAAAGAGCTACTAGGATTAATGAGAGTGAACCCAGCTAGCTTACCAGTTACAAGGTCAATATCCAAAAAGGAACCGTACCTCAATATACTAGCAATAAAAAATTTTTAACTTTTGCTGTGCTGTGCTTAGTCGCTCAGTCGTATCCGACTCTTTGCAACCCCGTGGACTGCACCCTGCCAGGCTCCTCTGTCCATGGGATTCTCCAGGAAGGAATACTGGAGTGGGTTGCCACACCCTCCTCCCGGGGATCTTCCCGACCCAGAGATGGAACCCAGGTCTCCTGCAGTGCAGACAGATTCTTCACCAGCTGAGCCACCAGGGAAGACCATGTTAAGACTAGGTTTCTTTTTTAAACTGGTTTACTGATTCAATGCAAACCCAAATAAATTCTAGCAGCTTTTTAAAAATAGAAATTGACAAATTGATACTAAAATGTATATGGGAAAAAACTCAGGAGAACCAAAGCAATTTTGAAAAGAAAGAACAAAGTTGTAGTGCTACCACCACCTGATTTTAAAACTTCCTATAAAGTGAGATTACTCAAGAGAGTGTGGTTCCAGTGGTTCAGCAGAACAAAACAAAAGGACAAGATGCAGACCAACACACACACGGTCAACTGACTTTCACCAAGTGTACACAGCAATTTAATGGGGAAAGTATAATCCTTTTTAACAAATAGCTCTGGAAAGTTGAGTATCTATATATAAATCAGACCTCAACTCTTAACTCACATCATACACGGATCACAGACTTAACCATAAACACTAACACTACAATCTTTAGAAGAAAACTTAAGAAAAAAATATTTGCAAACTTGCAATAGATAAGACACAAGGAAAAACAAACTATTATTATTGGCTCAAAAAGCAGGAGAAGACATGCTTACAGAAGGAAACGAAATGGTTGGCTACAACTGCCCTGGCATCTTCAGAAAACAGCAGTAGTACTCCAGAGCAGTGTGAGCAGACAAGTGAAAGACCCGAAAAGAAGCAAAAGCCCCAGGAAGCTCCTCAGGAGAATGGAATGGAAGACCGTAAGTCTCCTCTCCAAACCCAAGAAAAAGAAACCTTTTTCCAAGGAGCTCGTTAGCAGTGATCTTGAAGAGACAGCTAGCACTGCAAGTCTTCCCAAAAGGAAGAACTCTTTCCCCAAAGGGGAACCAGACAGTGACACTGAAGAGTCAGGAAATAGGAGTGATTCCAAGAAAAAGAGGAAATTCTCTTCCAAGGAGAAGCCACTCAACAGCAGTGGACCTGAAGAGGCTGCTACAGCAAGAGCTGTGGCTGCAAGAAAAAGAAAAAGCTCTGAAAGCCATCCCAGGAAAATCACAACAGACATTTCCCTAGTGGGCCATAACTTGCAGAGACAGTTTCCAACCCACCCCCTACAGCCCAATTAAAAAAAAAAAACTGATAAACAGGACTTTATCAAAATTGAAAACTTCTGCTGTTTAAATGATATCATTAAGAAAATACACAGATAAATCACAGAAAGGAAGAAAATATTTGCTCTCTATATGTGATAAGGCATTCTTTTTTAAACAAATGGTTTTATCTATTTTCGTTTTTGGCTGTGCTGGGTCCTCGTTGCTATGCAGCTTCTTTCTAAGAGCAAGGGGTGTGCAGGCTCCCCCCCACGGGGGCCCCTCCTGTTGCGGGGCAGCACTGCGGCCTCAGGGCTCTGGAGTCTGGGGCAACAGTTGTGGTGCGCTGGCTAAGTTACTCCACAGCAATGGGCTCTTCCCGGACCAGGGATCGAGCCCATGTCTCCTGTTGTAGCAAGCAAATTCTCTATCACCGAGCCACAAGTCTCTGACAAAGCATTCTTACTGAGATAACACGAAGAACTTTTATAAAGCAATAATATGAAAAAATACTCAACTAAAAAAATGGACAGGGACTTCCCTGGTGGTCCAGTGGTTAAGACTCTGTGCTCACAATGCAGGGGGCCTGGATTTGATCCCTGAACAGGGAGCTAGATCCCACATACTGCAACTAAGGGTTCATATGCTACAACTAAGACTA